ATTTTGGGATGGTGCCTCGTTGGGCAACACCAAAAAAAAATTAACTTTTTTTTTTTTTTCCCAATTACCCCCCCCTACCCAAATTTCCTTACCAAAAAAACCATTTTTTTTTTTTTTTTTTTACCCCTTTTTTAATAAAAATTAAATTCACATAGGACCTTGACATTACGTATTCCATCTTTAGTACCTCGATGACGACGGCTGCTTGCTTCGGAAGTTTATGTTTCCCGTTTTAACCCGTTAAAAGTGTTTTAAATAAAATTAAAAATCATTTTGCATGTTACTAATAATACTTGAAGAGAACTTGTAAGAATTCTTTAAATCATCTTATTTCAAAGTTAAATAAATGCTCCGAGTATCCAAATTTTCAGTCTAATACCCAGGACTTAAGTTTGACCCCTGGAACTTTAGCCCCAAACAACAATAATATATAATAAAAAATTTAAACAATAATAAAAAAATAAGCAATTTAACATTCCACTATTAATAAACATGTGAAAACTTACACCACGACCTTTAAGTTAGTGAAATACGGATAGTTATAAGTGAGAAACAAAGATTTATTTCGAAGCTACCTTTTTGGCTTTCACCCTCCTTAGAAGTCGTAACAATATAAGGGAGGCCACGCGCAATCCAATTTTTAATAAACTCGCTATTTGCGAAATGTAGGGTCAATATGTTTTATTACTGACGAGAAAAAAAATTCTCTTAAATCCGTTATAGGTGCAAATAAGTAATGGTAGTAACTGTACATAATATTATAAAATATTAGGATCTACAGATATTTATACAAGGAGTTCCCAAGACCAAAGTCTTGTTTACCTAACGCAAAACTCGAGAAATCACTACACCATTAAAAAATAAAATTGAAGGAGAATGAATTTTGAAAGAGCTAGTTAAGTTTTACATTAAAACATTTTGAAATGAAAAATATATAACACTAGCTGTGTTAGCGACTTAGTCCGCGTAGAATTGTTATTTTGGATATCCAAATTTGTTTTTGCAAACCCTTTCATCTTTATAAACTTAAACTGTTACCCACGACGTCCGTCGCGTCCCTCCCCGTCGTTCTTGGAAGTTGACAAGCGTCGCGGACTTTTTTTAGATGATTTAAAGAAGATTAATTCTTTAAAACATATTATTTGGGTATCTTAAACCGTTCTTGCAGTGTACAGGCGGAAACCCATAATGATGAATTCCCTTTTTTTTCACATTAACCGTTATTTCTTCACTTCTATTAGTCACATCGTGATTTTTCAATTCGAACCAGTAGTTCCTGAGATTAGCGCGTTCAAACAAACAAACTGTTCACCTTTATATATTAAGTATAGATATAAATGGGACTCGAACTCGCCACCGCAAATATTTTATATATTTATACATTATAAACGCAAACATATTTTTTTATCGCTGTCTTTTTCACCAGCATTAATTATGGTCACCATGTCCCCCATATTGAAGCAATGTTATTGTTTACGTTACCGGATTATCCCCATCACAAATGTATCACTGTATACCATTTTTATTTATACAAAATAGGTGTTATGCCTCTGTCACAATGATTTTCGTCGCAGGAAAATATTTATTTATTATTGCTTTATTATTTAAAACCGCCACAGAAAATAGATATTAATGGGGAAAAATCTTACGTACTAACTTATAAATAAAGGTGGCCTTACTTAGCTAAGTAGCGATCTCTTCCAGGAAACCTGAAGTACGGGAGAAAAGAAATAGAAAATAATTTATTTAGTGGGTAGTTTTAAGGAATAACAAAGAATCATAAAAGTACACAGAACGAGTAGGGGAGAAACTAACTTAAATATTGGAAACGTAAAACTTATAGAGCTAACTCTTAAAAGAACGGAGTGATTGAGCTTTTCTGATATTAGTGGGAAGAGAGTTCCAAAGACGGTTAGCTTTAACTGTGACGGAATTATTAAAGAAAGAGCTTTTATGTTTAGGGACAAATAAAAGGAGATTATCGATAGAACGAAAATATTATAAACACCCCTTTCCATTTTTGTTATCTATACTATTTTCGTACTTAAAGATAAGGAGTTCTGCAAAAACAAATCTAGATGTCCAAAATAACTATTCTATGCGGACGAAGTCGTTCGTCACAGTTCTAGTTCTTTGATGTAATTTAATAATGATAAGTCCTAACGACAATAGCTAAGTTAAGTAGGTGATGCCTAAGATATTTAATTTGAATAAGAAAAATGCCTAGCGATAAACTTGACTACAGCAGAAAAAAACAACATAATGAAATAAAAACTATTGTATTAAATAAAATTTCACACTTGCTTGATCTAAACTTCGTTGTTGAATCTGGAGTTGAAATGTTAAGACAGAAAATTAGGCGAAGTTAGAAAAAGTAAAGAGAATAAAAACGTGACAGTTGGGTTTGACATTTCACTTTCATATTAAAAGTATACAGGGGCGTGAACACTGTTTTATCTACATTACAATCCACGTAACAGACAAACCTACAAAATATATCCATAAAACGAATACTACTCCTGCCAACTTCCGGTCGATCGCAAGATAACAAGTTGAGGATAATAAAAAAGCCCTTACATACTCTATTCGTTCGTGATCGACATCTCAATAAAATGCCGTGTTACAAAGAATACACAATTCGGAATTCATAGCTTAGACAAAGTACTAACTGGTACCCTAGAAAGATCGTTAAGCCATCAGTCCATGTTAATGTCACCAATTTAGTGGGGATAGTAGTTAAGCCAACCAAGCAGCATTGGTAGTCTACGCTTCAAGAACCCTTTTTTTCTATAAGAGAGTAGGACTGTTTTGCTTAGTACATTTATAGGTTGAAACTAGACGAAATGGAAAGAAATACTAGATATCATTAATTGAGAAATAAAAAGTCTCCACGTTTTTATATTTCCAAATTAATTTTTAAAAAAAAATCTAAATTAATATTATTGATATGTTAATTCAATTCAAATATTACTTTAAATATGTATATTAAACTTAAAGTTAAATATTTATCTACTACAAATTTTTTATATGTGAGTGTAATCATCAAAATTTGGTAAAAAAAAGCAGGCTTTTATTATTAGATATTATTATAACAATTGTAAGAAATAATTGGTAATAATACATTAATTTTTTAATTTTTTAAATTATTTTTAAATTTTTAAACCCTATATAATGAATTTTTTTTTTTTTTTTGGTTAGTGATGTTATATAATAAGCCCTCCTATATCCAGTATCAATTTTAATTTAAAAAATTATTATATTAATATAGATTATATTTGTTTATATTATAAAAATTTGGCTCTTTGCTACTATTAGCAGGCCTTTCAAATCGTTATGAGAAAGTTCACAGATACTGGAACTATCAATTATCAGAATCAGGTCTATTCGGGACTGCACTTCATCTGAGACGGTTTTAGCCATTCGTATCTAAGCCCCGATTATTCCCCTTGATGTTTCATTGTCCAATCGCGGGCTTCAGAGCAATTTGGCAGAGAGCTAAATAGGGCAGCAGAGCTCGCCAGGGCGTCTTATCTCCTGTCATACAAATTGGCTCGGTTTCTCGTTTCCATACCAGTTTATACATCTATTCATGAACATTCCAACTTTTTGTTCCTCAACAAAAGGGTAAGAGCAGATTCTGTTAGTTTTGGTTCTATATTTTGAGGAAACAGGGCTCTGGAGGCATAGGGATATCAAGAATCACTTCATTGTTTATGGATAGATATTGCACTGATAGTGCATTAATTACTAAAACTTTGTGAGAAGTGAAGCGAAACTATAGACCTGAACATTCTAAACATCTTTTTTATTTAATAGTGAAAAGTGTTGCCTGCCAATATTTACATACAATAAACTCCAACAGTTAGCAAAGACACATAATAAGCGTAATCCTTTCGGATTTCACAGATGTGGAATTCTTGTAAATGCTAGTTTGAGACTAGGCTGAAGGTAGGTATCGACCTCGACTTGGACCACCGCAATGTACCAACGCTGGGCGCTTTGGAGATTAAAGAGCTGGAACGTTTGCTTACCGGAATAAGAAGTATGTGTACCGGCGAATTAAGGGGGGGTCATGTGATTATGACCCCTCCCCCCGAGCCGGGTTCAGGACTTGGGTAGACAATAATTGACCATATTGATTTTATGTGTTCTTTGAAGAATTTTTTGTGACTTTTGAATGAATATTTTGAAGTATATGTTATTAAAATTATTTTAAGGTTCTTAACTATGTGACCCCTTCTGGCGCCAAAACTGGATCTGCCCTTGAGTACGTGGAACAAGCATAAAATACCAATCAGGAACAGAGCTTGGTAAAGAACAATAGATTTAATATTTTATTTCTCACTTTCCAGCTTGCTTAACTATACACACCGGTAACTAAGAAGTAAACAAAAACAACAATACATACAACATCTTTATTGACAGAAAACACGTATCAATGACAAAATTAACAGGACACTTGCAAACCCACTAGTTACATAATCATCCTCTCTACAAACTACAACGCCTCGAAGTTCTAACATTACAACTGTATTAAAGATATTAAAATAACCTAAGATTAATTAAAAGCAAATTAAAATAAAGCAAAATTACTGGTTGTTTTAATGTGTTAATTACAAGTTTACAAAAACAATGAGTGGTTATATTTTATGGATTTAAGGTATGGCACACTACACAATTTTTTGGTCAATTTATAAAAGGGAGAAAAATAACCACATATTATATTTAAAGACTAAAATTTAAAAAATCAATATCATTTTTAAAGATTTCAGTTAAGATTGTTTATACCTAAATACTTCTTCAATTGACATTCAACACCATTAGAATACTACAACAGTATTGCTTATTCAATATCAACATTCCAACATAATTTTTATCAACACTGGTACTGGTCTCCTAAAGTCATCTAAAGCTAGTCATTTTTTTTACTGCCACAACTTAATCACATGGGATTCGAATCTACGACCCAGCAACTTGCATAAACCGCTGAGACCTTCAGCCTAAGCATCAGACACTGTGGTCCTTCTCCTTAATGACCGTCTCGGTGTGTTGACATTAGTTTCTTGGAGTACTTTCTTCTCCATTGTGCGAGGAGTTTCAGTCTTATTCCTACTACAAGTCCTAACCGGGCTGCAGATGGCATCTTGCCGAACCAACTTCCTTGTCATCATTGGATTTTCATTTTCATTAGCTTGACATTTCTCTTTTTCCGTATTTTGATTGATATACATGGAAAATGGAGGCGCTTCTTCCTCTGTGGATGGTGACGTGTTGTCGTCACTATGCTTTTCATCTAGCGTTGGACTTTTTTCAATCGGTGAATCGTTTTCCGAGTCCAACGTATCTAGCTTTCGTACACCACTAATGTCATTGTCTATAGACGAGTCCAAAATGTTAGCATCTGAACTGTCGAATAGAACCATCTTTATAGATTTCCCGTTGCTTTTCTTGGCACTCGACTTCAAGATACTTCTACCGGGCGTCGCCTTCAGATTTACCGGCGTAAATTGTATTAAGTCCTAGAAATAAATAATAACTACTATAATATATAGCATTTAAATAACACTTAACGGTTTAAAAGGCGAAATTATTTACAAATTATTTTAACTACAGTCCGATATTTCAGAACTTTCCCGTTAAGTGTTTTATTAAAATATGTACTACTCGCGTATTCTACAGACAGTATTTATTATAATATATCAATAGATAACCACCTCTGTATCTCAATGCCTGTGCTGCATAGTATTGCGTTAAGCATTGATTGTAAAGTCTAATTTCGTGGTAATAAATTTTTTCAGTTGGGCACGGTACAGAAGTCTAATCAACTTGCCTATAAATAAAATCGATTATTTTATTATCTTATTTGTTTTTCCCTCCATATGGGATTTTTATATTATAGAATGCCATAAGTTTAACATTGGAAGAATTATAATTATTCTTAACAAGTGCCTATCAAAGAATTAACCAATTAAATTAAACTTCGAAATATAAATAACTTTTAGATTTATCTATGATTCATTAGGTTTTTGATGTTAAAAAGGGTCCTGTCACCAAAGTACTGCACTAGGCACTACTTTGATTTTATTTTGGTTTATTTATTGGTCGTAATAATTACTCACTGCAGGAATTTCACTATCTGGGTCGACGTTCTTCCCGATCATTGAAGCCCGCAGCATCGCAAACGAAGCCGCACTCTGTAACAATATATAACATTGGTGTCATATTTCGAATAAATTAAGCTTTCACCTTGGGTTGACTGGAAGAGATTGCTTGTTAGCGATAATTCGTATTTTTTTTTACGTTCCTTTTGTGCAATAACACTGTTAATAATTTAATACTCTTACAATTGCCATATAGGGGATCTTTCTCCAAATGTGGAGCATGGAAAAGACATATTTCTTTGTAATTTAATGTACGGATTTTATTTACTGCCATATATTTGATCAAATTTGAAAAAGCACAGAAATCTGAACAAAACAATGTTTTTCTAAAATTCATACCCTCTCTCTCATGCTTCTTAGCGATTCTAGTATTTAACATTTGAGCCATAAGAGTGGTTTTATATATGTATTATTTAAGACAAAATTACTCCATCCATACATAATACAAAAAATTGTATACAATAGGTTGTCTTCACTCGATGTTGTATGTTCTGATGATAAATAAATAAAAAAAGCATCCTTCAAATTATCCAGTTGTTGGTTAAAAGTTAACCAACAACTTATCAAATAAATCATTACCTTGGAAGCGCTCTTCTTCGCTTCGCTTGAGAGGACTGCTTTCAAAAGAGTAGAAGGCTTGTTCGGTGTAGACAATTTGTTTGGTGTGGCGGGTGCTGGGCTGCGGACTGGCGATGTGACACAGAAAAAGCCAGCTTCGAAAGTCTTACTGCCCTCTACTTCGGGTGCAGGCGCGTCTTGAGCGGTTGCTGCTTTACGTGCCGCTGAAATTCAATAACAATGTTTTATAGCTATTTCTTTCAATATTATAACAACTTATTTATGTTATTGTTAAGTGTTTTATTTAATTTGATTAAGTCACTTGATTTAATTATAAGGGCGCAGAAGACAAGAGAATATAGTAACATCACTCAAATAGAGCGCTGTTGAAGAGTACATACTCTTACTCAAGCCTTAGTCATACATAGATTTATATTTACCAGCAATCATGGCCTTGAGACGACTGGTGGCAGCCGGTTTAGTTCTGGATTTTGCGGGAACCTTGCGTTTCTTTTGCTGAGGAGATGCCTTAGTCTCCACAACCCAGCCGCGCGACTGCATCTCTTCGAGATTTTTAAAACGCGCGTTGAGGTTCTCTACCTGTAAAAAATCACAAACGGAGTATCAGTAAGAATTTTGTATTCGATCGAGAGACGAAGATACGACGACAAAAACAATTATTACAACCAGTGGACAACCGTTAAACGCTATCGTAGAGCCAGGCTGGTGCAAAGCAGTCGAAATCAGGGTCCAAGTTAAAAATTAGGGGCAATAACTTTAACTACTTATCTTTGAAACAGTTAGAGTAGTTTTATAAAAATGTTCTACTCGCGTAAACTTTAACGTTATTTGCTATTTATAATTTTGGAAGTTCATTTAATTCAAGCTATGCTAAAAGTGGGAAGAGGACCCGATTCTTTCTTAGGTACTGTTACTTGGGCCCTCACCTAGTTACGCTACTGATTACAACCATTACACAAAAGGTTGATGTAATGGTAGTAATAAATAATAATTCATGTATGGCTAAGTAATCAACAGGTATGATATGTTATATAGCTGGAGTATATCACCTATCATGAAGTGAATCTCATGCTTGTCCCTGCAAATCATAAAAAAATATGGGTTATCATACAAATATTATAATCTCCACTACCTACACACCTGCATATATACCATGTCCCAGAATCCTTGCAAGTCAGTGGGTGTTACGAGTGGCTGATCCGGATCTGGGGCCTCGCAGCGTTCTACGAGCCCCGCAAACTGTTGGAACTTCTGCGACATTAACAGTCGAGCCTGTCCTACTGCAGCTAAAATGGCTTCCTGAAAAATGGTGTGTGTTCTAGTTATAGGGGCAAACCTTAACAAAAGTTTATAACGAGTTCATCAGTTTCATACATACATACTGTCAACTTGAAATTATCATTTAAGAATAGCTCCTAAGCACACAACTGTGCCTGTTTAAGTAAGTTATAAACTCAGTGGTGCACCAGAATTACAAGTGACACTATTAAAAATGGGAAATGTTATAAGTAAGATTACATTTATTTTTATAATATCTAAGCTTGTACAAAGTTTTGGACGCTTTTCAGAAGCAGGCTAAGTAATATTTAAAGAAGGTTGCATTTCTATATTAAGACAAGATAAAATTATCTACATCTATCTCAGAATATATATATTCCGGTTGTACTGAAAGTCTATGGGGAGGCCTATGTTCAGCTGTGGACAGTTTCTGAGATGTTGCCGGCAACATAGCAGTATCTCATAGTAGGAAATAATAGATTCATGTTTGCTTGTAATTAATAATAACATTTCATACAAGTATTTCTGTACCTACATTTTTGTCAATAAGTAATACTAACTTGAACAATATCAGGAAGTGTATTGTGTTCTAAAATTTTTTCCCAATGATTGGCCATTTCCGTTAGACGAGCAGTTTCCGAGTTAAGTTGCTGATTGAAGTGGTCTACACTATCTAGAGTATCGAGATGTTCTTCAAGGAGCCCTAGAAGGATAAGATGTAGTTATTTATAAGATACTTAAATTATTATTATTATTGTATGGGACACTCATCAAAAGGAAGAGTGATTAGAAAATTTCACAAATTTTTCCATTTACTGGAGCCATTCCAACTCACAAGATGGACTAAAATTGAATATCTGTTTAGATGTTACATGGCTTATTAGTTACATGTATAAAAGTAAGTCATTGGTTTGTTAATTAAGTTATAACAAAAATATTACCATCCTTAAGTTTCTTCTGCATTTCCCGTCTTGCATTATCTTTACCTCTAGACATTGTAATACAAGGGCTGATTCGCTTGGCCAAATCGGTAATTTGTTCTGGAGTCATTGGAGCATCTTTTGGTGATTTCAGTCTCTCTTCGGAACTAGATTCACAATTTGGTATAGGTTTTACAGGAGTCTTATATGTTTTTTCCTTATTCTGTTTAACTGGAGTACATTTATTTAGTGGATGTGATTTTCTTGTTGGTCTCTTGATAACTGGTGAGCCAATACTACTCTCTGATTTTGTGCTATCTAACGAGATACATGGAATTGAATGCCCAGAAACTGATAGCGATGGGTGCCTATTACTGCTACTTTTTAAAGATTTTCGAGAACCTTTAGGTTTTTCTGGAGTGATAACTGAAATGACTTCTTTTAGACCTGATCTTTTGGCAAAATTTGAAGATTTCCTAGTTTTCATTACAGCTGGAGAACTGGTACTATCTTCTGATGAACTGTTTATTGAAATTGGTGTACTGTTCAGCAACTTTTTGTTTCCTAATTTATTATTCAAATTTTTACCTAATATTTCAGGCTTCTCATGATTATTATCATCAGAAATTGAACTTTTTTCTTGATAAGAGCCAAGTATATATTTCTTGCCTTTTGTTTTATAAACTTGTGTTACTGATGCAGATATATTATGATCTTCACTAGAATATGAGCCGCCTTCTGCCGATTCAGTATTCTTGACAAAATGAGTGGGCTTTTCCTTCCTCTGTTTTGTTTTTGAGTCTTTTTCATTTATTTGATTTGATGATTTGTTACTGTGATCTGAATTGAAAACCTCCTTAGTAGTCTTCTGTTCCTCTTTACCTTTTTTTGTAACCTTTGCCTTACTTTTTGGTAATCCCTCTTCAGTATTTTTCACTGCTTTTGGGTTCAGCTGTGAACATGCGCTACGGTCATTGGTTCTGGTTCTACTCACTGTTTTTGAGGTCTTCAATTTTAGATGAGGCTGAGTTTCTGGCACAATAGGTTTAAATTGTACCATTGCAGTTCTATCTTTTTTTTTAGTGGGAGGCTGTAAAAGTGGTAATTCTTTCATTCCTTTAATGGCTGGTGGGCAAAACAGTGCATGTTCAGGGGCAAAGGACTTTGTGTTTCTAATTTGCGAAGTGCATCTTGTTGTAGGCTCTTTACATTTAGCTGTTTGTGATCTTGTTACTCTGCCAGATGAGCTTGGTAGTACTTTTGGCAAATCTTTCAACTTTGGAGGAGGTCTAGCAACACCTACAATAAAAGGTTTCTTTTTCTGAGATGCTGCTTCTTTTTTCTTCTTCTCCTTCTCTTCCTTCCACTTCTCGAGTTGCATTTTTCGGTGCTCAGCTTTTTGTTTTAATACTTCCTCTTTAGTTGGTTTTCGCACTGGACTGTTTTGAGGTAAGTTACGAATTCTATCAAAAATAGTTAGACGGCTGCTTCTTCTTCTTTTGTTAGTCAATTCAAGACGTTTTTTAACCTGTAAATATTAATAAAATTAGAATCAGATTGCTTAAAAATGTTTCTTTCTACCTATTACATACAATATTATTAATACAATTATATTATCAACTTAAGTGCTAACTGTAGAAGAAAGATAAGCAAGACTACAAATCATATTTAACAAAACGACACATTTAAAAGATATGTCAATGAAAATGAAAAGTTATTTCAATGATATTAATACAATTAATTAATTAATTCTTAGTTCTTTTGTAATACAAATAACTTACCCCCTTCGCCACACTTGTAAATTGGTCTGGCTTACTTTTATGTTGTTTATCATGATTATTAAGCAACGCAATAAAGTTGAAGTCTTTCTCTGAAATCATTCAATAAATACAAAATTTCTACACGTATAAAGAATATAAAAATAGTACAACTGTCGTAAACAATGTCTACATACCCATTTTGAACACCTGAAAAATAAAAATTAATACCTGTCGTTTAATAAGAAAACACGAAGAACTCAAACTAATGTAACGGCCATTTTAAACTATTACTTAACCACAGATAAAGTAATGCGTTCTATACTATTTTAGTGCGGAAAAAGAACTAAAACTGTATTTACGATGCACAGATAATAACTAGGGCTGAGTTATGCATATCTATGCTATCCACTGCGAAATTGGTTATATGGTAATACTAATGTCAAATTGTATACTGTCAGCTGACAAACAGATATTGCTTTCCAAAAGCAAAACCGAAAACTTACTTCGATTTTCTAAAAGAAAAAACGTCAGGCACCATACATCATGGGCTTGAAAAACGCGATTAAAAGCTAGTTATAGCTGAAATATTGCTCTATTTGTAGTGTTATTATTATAATAGTTTCGTTTTATATGTACATTGTGTAACTCTTCATTAATCTACAATGGATACGTTTAGTTTAGACCTCGGTTATGGCGTTTGTTGATCATTAAAAATTTAGTTCGATTTTAATTTCCTTCCATTTGATGTCCAGTTTTTGTTTGTGATCGTCTATTTTGTTCGTGTTTACGTGTAAAGTCGAGATGGTGAAGGAGAAGCCCAATTCAATACGGATTTACGATGACGAGGGGTTCAGGAGGCGCGCTGCTTGTATTTGCGTACGTTCTGACGCCGAAACAGAGGTTATTGTGGTTTATCTATTTTATTATGTAAGTTAAATAACTTTGGTACTGAAACTGTATCAGTTTTGCTTAAATAGGTGCTGTTAGTAACATCCTCGCGTCGCCCAGACAACTGGATAGTCCCAGGAGGTGGAGTGGAGCCTGAGGAAGAGCCATCTGTCACCGCGATGCGTGAGGTTTTGGAGGAAGCTGGTGTTATCGGCAAGCTTGGAAGGTGTCTTGGTGTTTTTGAGGTAAGTCAAATGCAACATGTTGAATAACCACAACAAATATTATATACAAATTCTCAATGTTTTTAAATTTAAACTTAAATTGAATGAGTATTATTTACATGAAATAAATTTAATGTATTATAGTTATTTTTAAAACACACTTCAATTCATAGTTAAATACTTTGTCCTGATCATGTTTTAACAATATAGCTACAAGTAAAAATGGATGCCTTTATGTTATAAGCTTTAATAATAGGGTACATTATTTATAGCATCGCATTTTTCTTAAATGAAAAAATGATACAATAATTGATTTTGGTAACTATTTAATGTCTCCCCGTGACCACGGCTGCTGCAAAGCATCCGAAACGTCGGGCCAAAGTTAAAAATCATTTTTAAATAAGTTTAACTAATATATCGCGTTTTAAACCGTTAAAGTGTTTTATTTAAATGTGTACTACTAGCATAAACTATAGACAGTATTTAACTATTTAATAAGTTATGAATGAGTATTCTAAGTAATAATTATATTATAATCTATTTGTTTTAAAATCAGTGTAAATTTCATATTATCTTAGCAAAACAAAACATTTTTGCTTGATAAGCTGTTTTAATTTCATAGCAATGATATTGTGCAAATCAGTATTTTTTAACTGCTGAGCATCCATTATTTTATAGTTTGGATACAATTGTACTTTGTTAGGTAGCTAACATAATGAAATATTTTACAGTAATTTTATATTTAGGTTAGAAAATGAATTAGTAAAATAAAGCTCCTTTTTAACACTTCATAACACTTTAAAGCAATTTAAAACTCGAACTATCATAGGTAACCAACAACTGCTATGTTTTAGATGATGAAGATTTTAAGATGTTTTTCAACAGCCTAGGTTGTTTAATAATCAAGTTCCTGTCATATTAATGTATACTGGTCCGGTAAACTAGTTATACTAAAATTTTAAAGATTTAACTTACTTGTGCATATTAAGAACAAGTTACTTAATTTGATTCTTGGCCAATGTTTTTTAGTTTGAAACATGAAAATATTGTCTGACCGGCCTCTTTAAAAAGTAACTCATTTTAATCAAATTTTTCCAGAATCGAGAACACAAACACCGAACTGAAGTGTATGTAATGACCGTTACTCAGGAGTTAGCGGAGTGGGAAGATTCAAGATTGATGGGTCGTAAGAGACAGTGGTTCTCCATAGAAGATGCATTGGCCCAGCTTGCACTCCACAAGCCTATCCAGCGGCATTACCTTCAGCAGCTCAAGCGATCAAAACAGACTAAGACAGATGATAGCTAAACTGACTGCTTCAAGGGAACTAGGGGGAAGATTAGAAACTGTATAGTGTTAACTTCTGCTTAATTTTCATCTGACTGTCTCGTATAATTAACATATGATAGAAAGAGGTGCACAAAAATAAGCTACATATTTCAAAACTAATTCCGAAACAATATTACAGAAAGGGTGATTTCTCTTGATAACAATCTACCTACAGTGCCACTTCCAATGAATAATAAATATTTCTGGTTCCATTTCTATGCATTCACTTTAAATGGGGCTTGATGTGAATATTTTTATGTCTAAGCCTAAGTATGGACTGTAGATCATGAAATTTTCCTTTTACAACTATAGCTACAACCAATTTTTCACTAAACCATCCCCATTAGTATCCATTTTGTAAGCAATTTAAGCTCATACCCCCTAGCTTCCACTACACAGCACTGCCTTTATCATGTGCAATGCCGTCTTATCTTAACCCTGGACTTTAATTTGTCCGATGTCAGATACTTAGTTACTATAAGAGATTAAAATATACAACTTTTTCCATATACCACTGAGGATCATATTGAATGACTTGTGAAGTATGTGAGAATAATTTCTTAACTTAATTCTATGATATAAACATGTCTTCAGCTTGTTACCCTCAAATCATCTGACATTAGAACTGCAATTTCAGTTTGTTAACATTTTGACAACTTTCAGATATAATTATCTGTCAGGGTGGCCAACTTGATGAAAACAACTAAGTGTGGATTTAGGAAATTGAGGGTACTTTGCCTGGTAATCATTAAAGTATGTAGTTGCATATCTTAATATTTTTTTTTCCAATTCAAAGTCCTGTTGAATGTAATTTTTCACGAATCTTACGAAACTGTTTAAAATACTTTACCACTTGACGTTCTTAACATTATTATGATTTTGTTATAATATTCACATAGTAAGAATATTAACCGATTTTTGTGATTTCAAAAACTGGCTAATTAATGTTTCGCTAGCGCATTTCAGGGGCTTTCTAACGTAAGTGCTAGTCTATATAATTGCTATTTGTACCTATCTGGTTATAGAAAATTATTTTTGTAAATAAAATATTTTATTCTAATAAAATCTCGACGAGTGTGTTACGAATTATTGTTATTTGAAACTTGTTTGGTGGTAACGATTTCAAGTAATTTGATAATTCTTGTACGAATTATTTGGGCATAGAGTAAGACGGTACTGTATATTGTGTATGGTATGGAAGCCGGTATTAAGCATGTGCAGAACACGTAAAAATGTAAACTCTTTCTTTCTACTTAACGTATTTTTATACAGCTGTGAAATATTATTTTGTTAGCATTAAAGAAAAGACATACAATCTCTATATTATATTATTTAATTACCTACATTCAATATTTCCCATGAGTTATAATAAATTTTATATTGCTCTTCTGATGCGTGTTTTGTTTTTGTCCCTTTAAAAATCAAACTGCACCAAGTTATTGTTTATGGCGTGCCTGTAGTTGCGTTGTACACTGCCTTTCTGTCATGGAAACCAACCAACAAACGATACAAAACTGCCAAGCCAAGGCACCTTTGTGGTTATCATAATCTAGACATATTTGCTAGAAAGATCCAAACACTAAGAACATTGTTAGGATACGCAAACACGTCTACAGCTAATCCGAACTCGGCGTTAGGATCGCCGCTTAGGTAAAACATCGTGGACTTCACCTTTTTAACGACAGATTTTGTGTCTGTATATGGTACGTTCATCGGGAACCCAAATATCTGTGACAAATAAATTTTTACATAATTTTCAGTGACGGTACCTTAAAAAATTTAAAACACTAACGGTTAAAGACGCGATATTATTATTTATATTACGCGATTTAAAATGTTAATGTGGTTTATTTAAATGTGTAGATACAACTCGCGTAAACTACAGACAGTAGTTAAAGAATTGTCACGTTAAATTTCCCGTGTGTATATTTATTGCTCCTAGCATTACTATCAGGGGAAGATACTGTTGTAGTTTTGTAATGAATTTTAATAATTTCGAAATGTTAATATTGTTATTTTATGTAACACAAAATATCTTAGTTGAAACCAGTTAGAACTTAATAAATTACAACTGGTAATAGTAGGTTCAACTGAAGAAGCGAGACATATTATAATGTTATATTACCCTGTATGTCAGTAACATCTGTTTCAATCGTTGTCCAAATACAGGTTTCTCTGCATGTTTATTGAAACTCCAATATTCCCAATGTGGCAAAGACTCGCGTAATAAATTACTTAAATATCTGAAAATTAATAATAGACTACAGAAATTAAATCCATAATGATTTACAATAATTTATACTCTATGGTAGAACGAATTTTGGCTTAAAGGTCTCGTTACCAGGCCATTAAATATTATTTAAAAAAAAACTAGTCTCTTCCAGCCAACAAACACCTAGAAATAACCCAAATAGTCAATGAACGTCTAATGCGTTTTGATAATAAATAAGTCATATTTTTCCAGATTCTTTCAAAAACATTATTTTTCTTCCCTTCTGTAGTTTCAGTTTATATTATGTTTTATCTGTACGATTTCGGTTATAACAAGACATAGAGAAGAATGAGACTAGTCTACTTCTACTTGCCTTACCTGTTCCAAATAGTTTTGACATTCCACCTCCATTTTTGTATTTTTACTTTAATTTTGTTTTCTAAGTTACTCCTTAAAAGTTCAATATCTCCGGGTGCGTTATACACGAACTTTACAGCAGGTTTACTTAGTACAAAAACGTATTTATTGAATACCTGAATAAAGATAATTAAGATTCTAATTAGTTAATACCTCCTTCATTAGACATAGATATAGGGGTAAGACGTACCACTTGCCAGTCCATAGATTTTGTAAAATCAAAAGATAAATTCCCACACTCCTGGTAAGATTGAATGTTTGCCCAAATCTGGAAAAAAAGCTCATATTAACATCGTATCATACTTTTGAAGCATAAAAATTATAACATTCTTACGTTTTCATTATTAAAAACATAGCTAGCTGTTTTCAAAGGACACCCCTCTCTAACATTATATCTTTCGCCGTTAACCGCATCAAAAATATAATATTCGAATTCACTTTTATTGAAAAATCCCTTACTTTCAGGATAGTCAATCGTAACCACCACGTCGCCATGGTACTTTACTAAAACATAGCTACTCTGACCACGCGGTAAGCCGTACCCAATAACTATCCAACATTTTATACCCATACCGATAAAATAACTGGCCAAAAGTAATGCGTGGTCTAGCGGCGATCCAATTAGGACTTTTAATAATTCCTGTAAATTTATTTTTTAATTATTATATGATAATAAAAATAATAATACTATAATTATTTCAGGGCTCTGTAGTGTTATAGGTATGACTTCAATAAAATGTACGAATGTTTGCTAGCGAAATAACATATTATCTCAAAACATTATTTAATCCATCCCGCGGCAACATCAAATATTCTTGGCAGAAAAGTATGTGTTCAAGGATGTCATCTAGTTACATTACTACTAATTTTTTCATTTACTTTGATATCGGTAAAGCCGTTAAACATGAACGCGTAACACAGATCTTCACAAACATTCGCGTTTATAATATGTACCTATTAGTAGGATTATGTTACTTACGATGCCCGATAAGGTAACACAGCAGGTTTGAACAATTTCATATGTTGGTATCAATGACACGTATCGTCTAGCTATATCCATCTTTTCTAAAATTCCGCCATCTACTGGTCTTGATAACTTAAAAGTTTCCTCAATATTAGAATCTGATCTCTTCGACGATGAACTTTTAGAACTTCTGGATGCCGATCCAGATCTTTTTGGGTAACTTAAAATTATTTCCGGCAGTGGTAATGGCTGAATAAATTCAGTTACACATTTATTTTTCCCAGCACTATCTATTAAGGTGAGAGATATATTTCTGTTTGGAAAGTTGTTCTGGTACTCGGTAACGAAATTATTTAAATGTCTGATTATGTGGTCATCAGGATCAGTTGGCAGATTGTAGAAATGCATCTCTCCTAACTTTGATAAACTTGTAGTTATGCACAACGATAAAAAGGCTACGTCCTTTCTCATGAGACGGTTTATTTCGGAGATTTCCATTTTATTGTCTTCATTTTCATTTTGATAACCTAAAATAATCGGAGGCGTAGTCATCTTCAACGTCCCCCTGACCTTAAACCCCAAGAAAATCAGTAGGCATATCACAAGTAATACAATAAATTTATTAATCAATATTTATACTTACGGAACCATAACTTAAAACTGTTTTAATTGGTACTTCAAGAGATCCTAACCATTTGTTGTAACATCGATATGATTGGTGTAACTCATCAGATTCTTCGCCGATACGCATTTTATGTTCGTCGAAGACGTCAATATGAATTGAAGTTAATGGCTTGAGACTACAAGAAAACAAAATTACTTAATTGTCCTACCAATATAAAGTATCCATGTGTAAGTATTCAATATAGGTAACGTTAGTGGCCTAAAACCTAATGCCGTAAATAAATAATAGCGTTGACTAATAAAAAAAAAAAATGTTTCGTCCGTTACACAGACTTTTACATTGCCTGACGTTAACATTTTTAACCAACGTTATTAAACCTTGGTGATCGCATATTAAAATTCTTACTTAGTTTTAATTGTATTAGTATAATTCCAAGTGGGGTTGCAACCAATCGCCACGGGTGTCTGAACCGACTCGCCATGGTAACTGATTTTTACAAAAGGTCTCACAGTGCGTAATTTATACCCTGTAATATTAAAGTAGATTTTGATTGTTAATACATAATGTTTGTAACATATATTTATATATAATCTGTAATAAAAACATAAATTTATTTTATTTATAGATGTTGCATATGTTTTCTTGTTTGTAAGATTCTAGATAAAATTTTTTTTATTAAAATAATGGACTGAACTCAAAAAAAGACATAAGTATATACCGTTTTTCTCTAGTAAAATTCAAATCCTAACTAAGCAAAATATATAATAAAAATATTTTACATAACTGGCAACACATAAATCATAAGCACAATTTAATTAACAAATAAAACACTATAAAATTAATTCATTTACCAGCAATACTACTGGGTCCTTCCGTATCGTCAAGACTACGATCGTACAAATTAAAAGCTCGTAATATATGAATGTGAATTTCTTGTTCCGTTGCGAGTGCTTCTTCCATGTATTGTATTTTAGATAGGCTTGACTGTGTCCCCAGCGATATATTTGGTTTCATACAAAGAAAACTTCTAAAAATTATAACTTTTGTCAAAAAAAGGCGTATTCATATATGATTTGTTAAGACGTAAACCGCAATAAAGCTTTTGTGTACGAACTTCCTATTGGGCTGAATAAAAATTAGGCTAATGGGCTAAAGTGTAAATGTTTAGTAAAATAATTCAGAATTTTTGATAAACAGAAATGGCTACGCCGAATGATTTAAGAAGTGAACCCTAAATCCTTACCTCAAATTGACACTTTCATAGTCAATAACAACATCTTTGTGAGTCTTCCTCATGAGTCTTTCACGAAGGTCCATTTCCAATTTTGTATGTAACTGTTCAATGTATCTTTTTCCCATATGCCTTTGCATATTTATTGGATCTATGTTTGGATTGGCATCTCTACTTTCAAGATATTCATCATCTAATATATTTTTTTTACTCTTTTGTAAAACATTAAATTGCTCTGTTGTTATTTGTGATTGAAAAAGGGGCACCACTTTGTTTTTTATATTACCAAAACTTCCACTATTTCTCAATGATAATAATTTGAATCTATCGACATCTATTTGATCAAGAAAGTTTGTAATATGCGACTTCATTACTTGACCAGTGCATATATTCTGTAAAACATTTATTATACTATGGTTTTTAATATTGCACCCGTATACGTTTTGTATAATATCAAATAAGCAATTTAAACTTGGCTTGTGTTGTTTATTTATAATCTGGAATATTTGTTTTTGTGTGTTCATAAAGTGTATGATTGAATTCATTTGATGTTCGTTCAATTCTGTGTTCCATTTAAATTTTAGTTTGATTATACATGTACTATATATTTTACCCTTAAATATACTTGAACATTTAAGCTTTACGTTAGTAATTGATGCAATGTTTAGTATACGAAAACCACTCCCAATGGATCTCTCAGTAGGCGTTACTATTTTGCTTTGATCAACAAACTTCTTCTCTGTCACTATTCCTCTTTTAGAATTTTCTCGACCATCGTTTATATCCACTATAACTGACGAAATTTCGTTATCACTGTCACATAGAATAAACTTTAAGGATGCATTATTTGGCAAAATTTGCAAAGTTATACTATCTTGGTATTCAATGTTTGAATAATCGTTGACCACAAGGCGTTTACACTCGCAGACAAATATATCATCAACGTACACTTTTAAATATAAATGTTTACCAATTTCATCATATTCACTTTTCCTTTTACTGTCTTTTATACAGTCCAAACGTAATTCTACAGCAACATCTTCCGGACTAATTAATAAATGTATTTCCTTCTCTACGGTTCTTTGTATATCATCTGGTTTGATTTTTAATTTTGGCTTTATTTTATCGACACTGTCACTCTGATTTTTATAGTTCTTAAACTCTAAATATTTAATGACGTATTCATGTTCTAACTTAATAAGCATATCGGAATATTCGATTAAATAAATATCATTCCATTTCTTTGAATAATCTTCATCGCTTAAAAAAACCTTTTTAACTTCTAATCTATGCGGTAATTGTACTGTATCTAATGTTTGTCGTACATGTTTTATATCTGTCCATAATGCCAATATAATTTTAAGCAGCTTACGCTTTTGTTTAATTTTACTAGAGTATTCTTTTTTCAGACTTAACATAGCTTCTGTGTACTTAATAATTGTAGGATCAAATCGTATGTCAATTTTCTTTTTAGGACTTATATTAGATAGTTTTTCTATTAGATTCGCTCTTGTTTGTCTGTTGACGTCTATTGCTTGTAATACTTCGATGACTGATTTTTCATTTGCTATATACTCGTTATAATAATCTTCAAGCTTATACACTAAAATTTGTTCTAAAGAAAATGTGTGATGATATTTATATTTTAATTCGTCGATGGAAATGTCCAAAAAATAATGCTGGGATTGACTCAATAATTTCTCTTGCGTAGTCTCGTAAGACAAATATGCAAATATTTTTGGTCCCACGTAATGCACTAATTCGTTGTTCCTGCTTTCATTGATCTTCTCAGTCATTAAAAACTTAGGTTTTAATTCTCCTCGCCTCAGATAATGTAAGCTGAAAATTTAATCTTATACCTAATTATCAAATATCTTACAATAAATGAAGATTTATTTATTTATTAAAAACCAAGATATCTAATTATGTTTAACATTACGAATTTACACTTAAATCCGAATTAATATTCATTGTGTTGACAAAAAAGTACTCATTAATTTAAATAAAATCCTTTAACGGTTTAAAACGCGATATATTATATATATAGATAAACTTATTTGACAATGATTTTTAACTTCGGCCCGACATTTCGGATGCTTTGCAGCAGCCGTGGTCACGGCTATATAACGCGTTTTAAACCGTTAAAGTGTTTTATTTAAATTTGTACTACTCGCGTAAACTATAGACAATATTTAAGTACTCATTAAGCAAAAATTCATTGGAAAAGAAAAGTTATAAATGTAAGTTTATGCAAAATATATGTTAAATAAAGAAATAAATACCCTTGCTCAGCATCAAAACGAGAATGTGCGATTTGTAGTAGTTTATGACTTCTGCATAGTATATTTTGTAAGTAGCTTCTACGGTCTACTTCACCTTCTGCTTCAATTTCAATAACATTTCTTAACACTAGTAAATCGGTATTATTGTGTTCAAATTTTGTGTTTATTAGTTCCGTTAAATAACTAGATCTTCTGTGATTTTTTAACTTTGCTTTTTTTCTCTTTCGTGAGATTTTACGTCCCATATCATCTACCATAGGTTTTGTGAAAAAATTCACTTGTGATTTTAAAGATGGAGAATTTTTGTCTAATATTATGTCATCGCTTTTTTTCGAATGTATTGCGTTTTGATCGACATCGTAATATTCCTGAGACACATTTTTTTCCTTTTTAAAGGTCTTTAACTCAATTATTTCGGACATAACTATTGATAATAAAAGTAATTTTGTTTTGTGTTTACAATTTTAATGTATATTAAAATTGGTATCATAGCAACGCACAAACATTCTAGGTGCATGGTAACGTTCTGTATATAATTATATTTGCTTTTTAAGATAAAACATTTTGTTCAGTTATTATATTTGCTTTTTTCATACAAGTCGGTAGGTAGTTGAGAAGTGGATGGTTGTGTTAAAATACCTGTTTTAATCTAAGTATTAAAATATGTGACAGTCATTTATTTACGGCATTTAATCTGTGGTTAAGTGTCAAAAGTTGACGTAAACATTAAACAATAATATCAACACATAAGTGACAAAATATACTAACAATTTTATTGTTTTTTTTTCCTGACTATTACTATGAAATTGTTTAATTAATTTATGTATTGAATAGGTGTTGGTATTTAAAGTGGAAGTACAAAATGGCAAAATTTTGTCTCAATCACAGCGATAAATATTATATTTCGCTATCAGACCAACCTAAAAGATTTGACGCAGATAGCCCAGTAACTAACGTTTTCTTCGACGATAATAATGGTCAGGTAAATAAGCAATATACATTTAACTAACATAGCTATGTTCAAACTACTATATTATAACTTAGAAGGAACTAATGACCTCCCCCTTTGTCGCTGGTGTTTTCATAACAATACTCTTACTGCCCAGCAGTAGCGTTTGAAAACTAGTGCCATGACATTGTAAAGTAACTGCTGCTTTACATTTATTTCAGGTCTTTACTGTTCGGTCAGGTGGTGTAACAGGCGTAACTGTAAATGGTCTAGATGACTCAAAATGCACTTCATTCAGGATGGAAGACAAGGGACCCATTATCTCTATAAAGTTCTCGCCAGATCACAAAGTGTTGGCTATCCAAAGAAACATTGATGCCCAGATACCGGCAGTAGAATTTTATAACTTTCAAGATCTGATTCCTACTAATGTAGAATATAGTCATAGTTGCAAATGGAAAAATGCAAAAATCTTAGGTTTTGTTTGGCCGAGAGTGAATGAAATAGCTTTCATAACAGACCATGGAATTGAATTGTTACAAGTTCTCCCTGAGAAAAAACAGCTTAAAACATTGAAGAGCATTTCTTTCAGGTGAATTTTTTGTGAAAAAGCAAACAATATTTAACTTTATATATAACTAAAGAAATAACTTTTATATGAACTTATAGATTTTTAAAGCACAACGTGAACCATTGAAAACTTAATATTTTCCATGTTATTGCACTTGATTACACTACAGGACATGGTAGCGCAATTGGTTAGAGTGACAGCACACACCACAACAACAAGAGTTTTATAACAGTAGTTAACAGTTTTATAAAATTTCAGTGGTGCATGGTATTCTTGGTGCGCTCAAAGTAATATTGTTCTCCTAGCTGGAAATAATGGAGCTTTGCTACAACCATTTTCTCTTCACGGTTCCAACATAAGTAAACTACAGAAACTGGAATGTAAGTAACTATTATTGTGAACAAGTGTATATAAGTATTTTTTTTTAAATTCTCATCAAAAGTATACCAAACAATAAGTACACTTTATCAAAATGTTCTAGTGGATTCATCTCGGCCTGTAGTTGAGAGAGATGTATTTGTACTGAGAATATGTGACGCTTCCTGGTGTGCAATATTCAGACATGGAAGTCCCACTGCATCAACACCAGGTCCTACTGAGGTTAGTTTTGGAAAAATTAATTGAAAGCAGTATCTCGTAAACTGTGTCTTATAAATTTTTGTTTGTTTTTAGTTTACCAATCACATAAATAATTGTAACAATAAAACAGATATGATAATTTAATAAATCTGTACTGATATATAAAACTGAAGAGTTTGTTTGTTTGAACGCGGTAATCTCAGGAACTATGGGTTCGAATTGGAAAAACATCGCTCTGTGACTGATACAAGCGAAGATACAGCAATAAATGTAAAATGTGGAAAAAAGTGGGAAAATTATTCATCATTATGGGTTTCCGAGGCGTACGCTGCAAAAACGGTTCTAGATACCCAAAAAATATGTACGAAAGAATGATTTCTCTTTAAATAATCTAAAAAAAGTACCTGAAGCTATGTGTCTATCTTTTAAGATTGACTTGAAAGAACGAGGAAGTCGCTGACACAGCTAGTATTTCATAAATGTTTCAATTTTATATTACATGTATATAATACTTATGTTTTAGGTGTGTTTAATACCGATAACTGGTGGTAACGGCATTCAGCATGTCTTAAAAACGGGCCTGGTGGGAAGGTTTGCAGTCAGTGTAATTGACAATCTTCTTATCATACATCATCAGGTAAAAATTAAATATGACGCCATATCTTGTAGGTCTAATGGTAGCAATATATGGCTAGTATAGGTTTTGGGTTCGATCCCCACCCGGTACAACATGTTTATAATCAAATTAATTTTTTTTTTTACATTTTTTCGTTTGAACTACAAGTACATATTTAAAAATTACTGCTTTCAATTTATTCAAGTCCTTCAGTAAACGTTTTTTTTCAAATTAACACCCACAAATATTTGTGTAAGCGCGAATGGTTTCAATTTTGTTTGCTTTTGCTGCCAAGAGATGGCGCTGATTAACAATCAAAATAAATCTTACATAATACTAGAAGCGCCATAATATATCATTTTGATAGAGAGTAGGTATTTATTGTAATTTAATTTATTAATTAACAATAGAGAGATTGTTATAAGTGCAACTCATGTTTTACAACCAAATTTTTCAGTCCAGCCAAACTTCACAACTTTTTGACATTCTGGAGGAAACTAAATGTGAGAACAACGTCGCTATACATTTGCCCATTGTTCAAGGAATGTCGATGAAACCAGCACTTGTAGATGGACAGGAGTGTCCCATGTGTATCCTTTTGCTAAAATATCCGAATATCGAAAACTAAAATAGGCCGACAGCGCATCTTGAGTACATGTTATATACGTGCGGTGTTTCACCCCCCATCTTTGTTTGTCCTCAATTTTTTTTTGCGATAGGACAAACAAGCGATAGCAAAAAAAAATGCTGTATTTATATAGGAACAAACACTTTGTTTTTTTGAAAGTTGATAATCGGCTATATTTGCTAGTCAATATAATTCATCGAATCGCCACTTTTGACTGTAGCGTACACGAGTATCAAACATAAAACCACTTGAGGATTTTTACGCAAAAAATATTAAACATTCCCGCTATGACCACCGCTACAAAGCATCTAAAACATTAGGTCACAATTAAAAATATTTTAACTTATATATATCGCGTTTTAAACCAACAGAGAACTTTATGTACAGGTTATATATGAAGCCTGAATATTAAAGCTAACATCTTCTTGGGTGCAACTGTGGGTTTATTCGATTGACAAAAAATTGAGCCGAGTAAAACTCGTTACTCGGCAAAAGTGTCACTCGGCGCATCTCTAATTATGATTATTTTCTATTGGGGACATCGATAGAGCAATCCCCACTATCAGATGATTATTTCACCCATTTCCTCCTTGATTGGACTTTGGGCTATCAAACTCTGGGCTATCAAATTACCTTAGCTTAGTATCAGATTCTGGTAACTGGGTTGTATTTCAGCCCGACTACATAATCGACGCTCGCCTTGGATGCCTGTGGACTGTAAATCTCATTCACTCGGGACTTGCACATAACGTAATATTTATTTAATTATTAACACCACATGAATGGTTTATAAGAATAAATACTAATAAATAAAAGGCGGCCTTATCGCTAAGGGAATAACAAAAATTAAAAGGACTATAGAAAGGCAATTAGGAGCTGGAAAGTTCGATCCCCGCCGAAACCAACACTTTCCTAATCAAAACATGTTGGATTTCTTCTGAAAATCTGGATATTAATAGTGTGGTCGGAATATTGAAATTCCATCCAGGTCTTCATAGATGAAAGAGTCGCGAAGTTTAATCGCGTCTCGGTTTCAGTCTGTGGATTTCCGAATATCCAAAGCCAATGCCATAATTGTGTGTCCTCCTGTATGAAAAAAAAAAGCAGAATTATGTTTTACATTTCTGCGTATGTAATCTGTTTTACGCAGGCACACTAACTACACAATACACACTATGACAGTACTACGCATAAGTTTGCCATCCAGTTCTTTAAAATTGTCTCAGCATTTTATTTGCTAAAGTGGAACAAACATACATACATGTACAGTACAATCCCGTTTCGACTCGTGGGGCATGAGACAAATACACTTCTGTGTCTGAATCACTAATCGGTTCTTCTAGTCAAGTAGTTGATCGGACTTCTGTGCCCTGCCCGACCGAAACAATTTTTTGTCATCCTGGGATTCAAACTGGGCAACTCGCTTAATTTATTTGGCTACAGATGTGGTCGAACATACGTAGATTGATAGAAATTGTTGGCCCTTTGTTTATCGTGCTAATTGACATTTATTTCAGGTGCCAAGAGACGAAATATCAAAAATTGTCGGTGTCCTTTTAAGGCGAAAGGATGGGAAAGACACAATATACAGTATATTAAATCAACTAATTACACAAGCCGACGTTTATTTGGTTGAACTCAGTCGGGTCTTTGACGAAATCAACTCTGTTTACAGGTAAGTTGAGTGTTTTCTTTGCTAGTAAAGTACTTTCGGGGTTAACATATATACAAACAGACAAAAAAATTGTGTTCAGTAAGATTATCTATCGTCTATTTTGACAGGTTTGCAAATTTTACATTGTATTGTTATTTTAATTTATCATCGATTTTTCTTTGTATCGACTACAAATCTAATGGAATGGAAAATAAAAAAAAAAAAATTCATTAAACTTGTATGTAGAGTTAAGTTAAGCTGTCTCCCCGTGACCACGGCTGCTGCAAAGCATCCGAAACGTCGGGCCGAAGTTAAAAATCATTTTCAAATAAGTTTAACTAATATATCGCGTTTTAAACCGTTAAAGTGTTTTATCTAGGGACTCTATCAATTATTTAAAAAAAAAACAATTTTTACTTGCCATATAATAATAGATACATTATAATGTGAATTGCATTGTAAATGTAATTAAAACAAGAAACATTAATCACTTATTCTTGCATATTATAGTAATTAAAGCTATTAACACTTTGTAATAATTCCTTTTAGCCTAATTTAAACGAGAATATAAAGGCAAAGTTTATTTAGCTCGGGTATTTTCTTATCAGTACATAATATACCACTACAATATATAATAAAAATAGTGTAGCATGGGACAGATACATTTTTGTACTCATGTTACTTATCGATAATATGTATATACAGTATTTCAATAAAACATTTTTAACGGTTTTAAACCTGAAATATGGTAGTAAACACGATGTCTGTATATAAGTAAAACACTCTCCCGTCTCCCCGTGACCACGGCTGCTGCAAAGTATCCGAAACGTCGGGCCGAAGTTAAAAATCATTTTTCAAATAAGTTTAACTAATATATCGCGTTCTAAACCGCTAAAGTGTTTTATTTAAATAAAATCTGTTTAGACTGAAAAAATACGACACGGCACGGAGTGCTGTTGATGCTGGTTCAAGGTCCGCCTGTATCGTAATTTTTTAAATCTAAATAATTTTTTGATTTGGGTAGTTAATTTATTTTACCCTACGGCCCGACGTTTTATAGGCGAGGCCTGCCCGACTAGAACTATTTATTGTTACCTTAGTATTCGAATTCAGGATCTGACGCAATAAACATTAGTGGTTGAAGCATTAAGCCACGGAGGTGGGCAAACTGATTTATTATATTACGTTTAATATAGAAAATGGGCGGACGCGGAAGTGGCACGCAACACAGCGGGCCAAGTCGTGGAAAAGGCGGGCAACACATTTCCCGTGCTAATATCGCAGGCGGATATGTGCAGCCGTGTTTTGCAGACACACGCCGACGACAAATATCTCGTACAGGTGATAATTATTGTGTTTATTGATACCTTGAAATTTAATACAGATTCTATTTATGGTTCAAATAAGAGACAAAGTCTACGCCGAACGAATTCATTTAATATACATAAAACTTAATAAGCTGTGATATCTAGAGTCACCGCTCTAGTAGTAGTGAAGTCCCGTTTCCCCCTGTGGGCCATGGGGCGAACACAATGGCATAGATCTATACCTTTACGAGACCCGTGCTTGCAGGAATTCAGTCGAATGGGCCCGACAGAAACTTCCCTTTTATGGGATATAGAAGCAGAACTAACTATTGAGGAAAATTTCCTGCGACCTAAAGTAGGGGTCGCGTTTTAGGACTGGGAGAAAGTAGGTTCTTATTCTAAATGTATTCCGACTTTCCAATGTCCTTATAGTGTCGCCACAGTGCAACACATGTCCATGTCCGCTATCACTGGGTCTCACGTTTCACAAATCGATATATTTAACTTGTGCTTCCTAGGACTTAAGTTGAAGGCCCGACAGAAACAATTTACTTTTTCCGGAGATTTAACATCTCCACAAGTTACGCTTTCGAAAATCCACCGACGGAGAACGAAACGCAATTACACTTCACGGCTTTTTCACCTGCGAACTTTCGTGACCGGGCGGAATTTTTACTAACCAGATTTCCAGACGAGTCCCCCAACAATTTCAGAAAATTATATTGATTGGAAACAACGGGATATAGCTATACATTGCTACAATTAGACAATCTAGTATCTTAAAATAAATCTTAATTTAGATTTTAGATCCTTGACGGTGTTTGGACCAATTGCATTGACGATTATAACTACACTTAGCTACAGCCACCTCAAATATAAATAAATCCTTCATGTTAGGTGGTCACAGCGTACCTCGCGTCGCTCTCTCTCCAAAACATGGTGGTCCAACATCCGGTGGCGGAGTTATGTGTAAGGACTCTGGTTACCCGCGGGGCGAGTGCCCGTCTAAGGTCACTCGTGCGCAGGGGCTGTCTGGGTGAAGAACAGCTACTCGCCTGCCAGCTGCTAAGTCTTGGCCACTTCGACCCAGCTGCGGCACAACTGGCACTGGACATGATGTGGCGGTTGAAGGCTTTCGAGGTAAGCTTTAACTTGATGCTCATTTGAATTTATTGTGTTGTGTAGTTTTCAAATAAAACACTTTTAACGGTATAAAACGAAACGGTAAAAAAACAAATGTATTCCTTATACTCCACGTCACCATGGCTGCTGCAAAACTTCCGAAACGTCAGTGAACGTTTCGGAAGTGGTTAAATTAAACAAGAAACATTAAAATAAGTTACCTAATATTTGCGTTTTAAAACGTTAAATGTGTTTTATTTATATATATATGTAGGAATTAAGGAATTAGAATTAATTGTAGGAATTAATAAGATGTTATATAAATTGGATTCAAATTTATTGTGGGGTCAAAATGTAAAATCCCATTTTCTCCTGTATACCCCACAAGAGGACACCTCTCTGAGTTGCTTGTTTTTGCCTCAGCACCTCTTGTGCCTAACGCATTGCTGGGGAATGCGTTTAACCCTTGAACTGGGAAGGTAGGATACGAAGCTACGATGCGCAAAACGCAAAAAGGAGGTAACAGGTGCAATAAAGGGGGTGTACGGGTGCAGGGCGACTCGACTTTTTGCTTAAAATTGACAGTACCATGCACAAGATGGCGCTCGTGCTAACCTCAGCCCGGCCAAAAAGTTCGGTGAGAACATCGTGAATTTATATGAATCTCTGAAAAACCTGTTTCAACTGTTAAAATCATTATGTGATGAATTGAAGGAGATCGTGGAGGTCCTCTTAAGCTGGAATGAGCCGGTTAGTGCTGTGGGTGCTGCAAAGCAGACTGGTGTGTGGACGACTTTAGCGCCGCGTAAACTGCTCGCCGCTGCACATCATTATGCGCAAGAGACGAATACGCCGACAACATTTTTGGCGGTGTACCACGCTCTCCTAGCGCGTAACGAGAGAGTTAGGGGCTCATCACACTTTGTCAAAGGTACTTTTAGAACCTGCCAGTTATACTATGCCCCACTTGGGGCCATAAGCGGCCAGTAAACCTGGTAACAAATATTTCATACATTCAAAATCTAATTACATTGAATTTTAAAATTCTATTTATTTGTTAAAATAAAACATTAAAGTTTTCAAAAGTAATATTCTTTCAGAGAATGTTGAGTTAATAGTTACCTACTTCGTTATATTCAAATGAAATTAACATATTTAAATTCTATCGTCGACCTATTTTGGACCTATTAGATACCCATAGATTGAAACGAAAATTGGGGTTATCCCTAGAGATATTTTAGATGAAGTTATACATGTTTTAGAAAAATTATAAATTGATTGTAGAAAATGTTGGACTCGATAGAAAACGAATCTACGACCTGATTATTAGTAATATAATACTTAATAACTACTTCAGTCGACCTTAGCAGTGGTGTTTATATCAATATGACGTAAAAAATATCCTGTGTCTCATGTAATATGTTTTCATATATGTTACATCATATTATTTAATTTTATCAATGGCTTTATTGTCGTGCTATCAAAAGACATCTTGGTCGTCAGGTCACCCGTTACCCGGTGCTATCTAGTTCACCACGTTGTAGAATTAATTAACATTTAAATAAAATAACTTTAACTGTTAAAAACGCGAATTATATTACTTAAACTTTGAATATTATTATAACTACTAGGGCTCGACGTTACAGATGCTTACAGGCGGAGTCACGGGAACTGTCCTTGTATATTGCGTTTTAAACCGTTAAAGTGTTTTATTTAACTAATTCACATCTCGTAAATTAAGTTTTTAGGTTTTTTATCGAATTCGCGAATTTCAAATATTGAATCTTCCATGATGAATAATCTAAAAAGATTTGTCTAGAAGAGCCCAGGATAAGGCCACTCCCCTCTTATTTTTTCATAGTATTCTCCAAACATTTGTAAAAAATTAGCCTATGTTTTTATCTGGTCTGACAAGAAACAATTATACCATTTTCGATTTAGTTAGGTTTATTACAAAAAATAACTAAGGATAGAAAACGATGGCAGGTCAAGAAGATATTAAAAATTTAAGTGCTGCATTACATGTGTATGTATTTTACATTTTATATTATTTATTCTAGGAGAACAGTGCGACGTCTACATTGAATATTACAAACAAATGATGGCGGATTCTTGAACGGAGCGATGGATCGATGTTCACTCTTATGGAATGTATATAAATTGTAATTATATTGTTACTTTGTATTACGTAAGATTTATTAATATTATTGTAAGTTTTACATTGCTAGCAATGAAGTATTTGTATAACAATCTACTATTTCTAATAAGTAAGCCACTTTCCATGGTGCATTTGCAATTTTTATTTCCTCAAATTAGGAAGTAAAAAATTCTGGTTTACAAGAGAATACAGAGAAAAAGAATATCTCTGGAAGCTATGTTTGGAATGATTAAATTAGAAAAAAATTGTACTACGAGATATGTTTGACGTGTTAACAAGTCAACTTTTGACGTCAGTTGAATAAAGTAGCTTTAATTTTAACTTACCTACATTGTTTCATTATGTATAAATATCAGTGTTATGCGAATACATAGTATGTTAATAAAATAAATTTGTTAATATTTGTTAATCATCTTGTTATCATTTTATATTTATCTGATTACAATTTTATGGTTATCAAAACAATTTCCTATTATTATATTTTTTACGTAAAACTATCGTTTGATAGTGCTTTATTAATATTCTGACCTTTTAATAATTTTCCTGTATTCTAAACAGTAAATTAGTACATATTCCATAAAAAAACAAATGTATACCATAAAAACCTTTATTGTAACAAATTATCTTGTATTTTATACATTTTAATACTATTATTAAAAATATAAATGCAGTTTTATAAACTTGTCAGAATCATGGTGAAGGAGGTAAAGAAGATATTACATATCTAGAATTCTACAACGGCACGGATAGACTTTCCAGCGTGCATTAGATGGAAAGCTTCGTTGATCTCATTAAGTGAGACCTTGTGGGTGACAAACTCATCCAAAGGCAGCTTATTATTGAGGTAGTCTTGAACTAGTTTTGGAACATTATCTCGGCTTTTGTATCCTCCGAAGGCTGTTCCTTTCCAAACACGGCCAGTGACAAGCTGGAATGGTCGGGTACTGATTTCTTCTCCTGCACCAGCAACTCCAATGATGACAGATTCTCCCCAGCCCTTGTGGCATGCCTCCAATGCAGCTCTCATTGTATTTACATTACCAATACACTCAAATGTATAATCTAATCCACCGTCTGTTAAATCAACCAGAACTTGCTGGATTGGCTTATCATAATCTTTAGGATTGACAAACTCATTGATTCCAAACTTTTTAGCTGTTTCAAATTTGTCAGGGTTAATGTCAACACCAATAATTCGTTTCGCACCTGCAACCTTGCAGCCGAGGCCTACTGCTAATCCGACTGCCCCTAAGCCGAAAATTGCACAGTTTGATCCAGCTTCAACTTTAGCTGTATTTAAGGCTGCACCATATCCTGTAGTCACACCACATCCCAACAGACATACTTTGTCTAGTGGAGCCTTGTCTTCAATTTTGCAAAGAGAAATTTCTAATACGACAGTGTATTCACTAAATGTGGAACATCCCATGAAATGGTAGAGTTCTTTGCCTTTACAGCGGAATCTCTTAGTTCCATCGGGCATCACACCTTGGCCTTGAGTAACTCGAACCTTCTGACAGAGGTTAGTTTTTGGGTTAAGGCAAAATTTACATTCTTTACATTGAGGAACGTACAACGGCAACACATGGTCTCCAGGTTTCACAGTGGTAACGCCTTCTCCAATACTCTCAACAATACCACCACCCTCATGTCCCAATATAACAGGAAACACTCCTTCAGGATCTTTACCTGATAGAGTATAGGCGTCAGTGTGACAGACACCCGTTGCAAGAATCTTCACCCTTACTTCACCAGCCTTGGGCGGATCTACCTCAATTTCTTCGATGGATAATGGCTTTCCAGCCTCCCACGCAACTGCTGCTTTGCATTTAATTACTTTTCCCACTGTCGACATTGTAAGCACTAAAATAAATCTAAATAAGCGTTAGTAACTTAAATAGTGAATAATTTGACCTTTTGACAGTAGTTCGCCCGGCGCGCGCCCCTCGGTATCTATTCAGTGATATCACACACAAAAATTACGTATGGTGGGAGAATTTATTATTATTACATCGACAACATTAACGTTATGTAATGTCTGTATTATTAAACAATTGATTGACAATTATCTTTGTCTGAATATTGATAATTTCAATTTTCAGTCAGCCGAGTCTGACTAACACTTAAGAAAAAATAATGCCTATTTATTATTATTAGTGAAAGAAGATACAAATATGGACATATTTTTATTTAAAATCTTATATTTTTTTACTCCACAAGTAATACAACGATTTGATCGTTTCGAGCGGAAACATTCAATCAAAGAATATTGAAGCTACGGGCATAAGCTAGTTATACGCACAGATTACAAAGAAATATCTAATAATCAAGCTTAGTAGATCTATGGCAATAGTAATAACGTACGGCAATAGATTGTTTGTGATGTAATAAACCAAAAAGTATTGTAAATTATTGCTGTAACACAAACAACTTTTGAGTATAAATTTTATTTCTATATTTTTAATTACTTTATGTATAGGAATAATATTTTACATACAATGTAGTTGTGTCTACATCTGTGATTGGTATATTAATAAGCTATAGACTGCAAATAAGCTGTGGTCTTCAATTTTGAAAGTGACATGTGGTTTAAAATTTGAATTTAAGTTTACTTTTGAGTATTTGTAATAACTTTACACAATTACAAATATATACTTTGTTTTTGTTATGTACCTTATACCTTCTCGACATTACTAATATACTTATTAATACGTGTTACTTAAAAATAGTATTTGTGATATTGTAAAATTAGCCTGTTACAAATGGCAAAATTTCACAGCTACTATGTACTGTGTCCTTTAATTGATCAAAACAGTTTTCTTGGAGTGAATGTAGATAGAGAAAATGAAAATGTTTTAGTTACGTTGGGCCGCAATGTAGTGAACAAGTATAGGGTACGATATTTTCAATTTAAATCTCACCATGTATTTAGCAACAGTGTTTTTAATGGCACATTTTTGTATAGGTTAAATGTGAACCTCTACCTTTATTGCTAATACTAAATATAAAAGAGTTACATCTGGTGCTTAATAAATATAATCATAATATGGTCTTTTATCCTACAAAAGCATTTTATGCACAGAAATTTATTATATTTATTAATCAAATCTTGTATTATTTTAGTTATCAGACCAAAAGCAGATTGGAGGATGGACATCAAAGGATCACATAACATCTGCTGTTATATATGACACTGAACAAGAATCATACATTGGTGTATTCAATAAAAATACAATTAAGGCCTGGAAAGATGAGGGTGAAAACTTAGATAAACTAAAAAAATACAAAGTAAGTAATTTTCATAAGCCTAAAATGGTTTTTAGTCAGTATCAACAAAAATATACATTTAACTTTATTCTTATAACTAATTTACTTTTTATGTATTTACTATTAACAAAAATTATTTTCAAGTTTACAGCAAACATTCTAAAAGTGATTCCTAGACATAACCAAACATCATTGATCATATTTGAGAATGGAAATTGTGCTTCACTTCCGTATGGCATTGAAAATAGAAAGACATATGAAAGCAAGCTGTTCATAAAGGAATCGGAAACTATCATTGAAGTGGGTTCTTATAATTCAGACAAACAAGAATATATTTGCTTTATTTTAAAAAGTAAAAGTACAAAAAGGGAGAGATATGAAATCCTCACCTGTGCTGTAAGAGATGAACTGGGTGATTTAGAAAAGGCAAATGTTATCAGAGAGAAAGTTTCAAGAACTGATAATGTTTTTGTGGTTGGACAATTAGTAAAAAATGACTTGGTGTTCTTTTTATGTAAGTATTCAATTGTAATTTTAGTCATCATCTCATTAATTTAAATTTAACTATATTATTTATTACTATACTACTACAGATATTTTGTTATGATTTGCAGGGAACGATTCAAAATTGTCTGTGTACAATCTAATTACAAAATCTTGGAAAAAAATGGTTACTGTGCCGTGGATATCAACATCATCCTGTGTGTCTTTAGCTTGGATGGGAGAAAACCATTTGATTTTATTTGGTAGCAATACAGACGAAGATGGAGCTATTCTAGTGGCATTCAATGTAATTTTGGGAGTCGGTTCATGCAAATATCCTATGAAAATGTACACAAAAGATGCAAAGCTCTACTGTTTCAATAAGAGAATTATTTTACAAGGATCCAATCATATAGCAATGGTGCCATATGTTGTAGAAACTGATAGAAACCTATCAAGCTTACTGGGATCCCATGACATAATACCAGACAATGTTACAGAAATTGCAGATTGGGGAACACCAACAGTTCCATTATTTCCAGTTGGAAATGTTATAAAAGATTTATGGACCAAAGGTTTAACAGAACGCAACCTTTGTGCACAAATTATACCTTTATTAATCGAAAAGAATGACCTTAAAGGCATTCTAGAAGTTCTAAATGAGTTTAAAGATATACCTGAATCTGTCATAGTCTCATTATTATCCTACGCTATTAAGATAATAAATCCAAACAGCATTGATGTTACTGATGAAGATGCAGTGCAAAATTTGTGCTTTAGTGAAGAAAACAAAGAAAAAATTGAGTTGCTGAAGTATCTCTTACAAATTTCATTCAGCGATGCCATTATAATACCACATTTAAGAAATAGCTTTACTTTGTCTGGTGCCTTGTTTTTAATTAGTTTCATTGTACACGTAATAAACGATTTGGAAATTCATATAGTTTATGAAAGTAAATTATATGACTGGTGTATTCTGTTGATGGATACATTTTATCAACAATATTTAATAACGAAGGACAATAAAGTAACTTATGTTTTAGACAAATTGCAAAAATTAACTGTAAGTCTCATAGATAATTTAAATACCATAAACAAGGCTATGCCTGTTGTAGATAAACTTATCCATGGTAACCAAGTTCCAGAAGAAAAGGCACTGTCGTCATATACAATTGAATTGATAAATATATGAATGCAATTTTTATTCGTTATTTTTTTTACTATAATTTTTCTATATATATTACTAATATATAAAGCTTAAGAGTTTATTTGTTTGTTTGTATTTTTGAACGCACTAATCTCAGGAACTACTGGTTTCCGCTTGAACAAATACGGGAAATGTGACTAATAGGAGTTCAAAAAAATGGGGAAAATTATGAAGATACCCAAAAAATATGTATGAAAGAATGATTTAAAAATAAGTCCGCGACGCCATATGTCTATCTTTTAAGATTAACTTGCAAGAAGGACGGGCAGTACGCACGACGCGATTAGCGAGCGTTTGCAAAGACGTTTAAAAAGACTCATTCATAAACATATAGAAATGAATAATATGGTAAAAAAAAGCTACTCAATCTATAGTATTTTTATTAGCTACTCTAGCAAACTGAACAACCATTGGCCTCTCTTTCAATAAGAATCCATTGGTTTCATTTAGTGCAGTTTTAGCCAATTCTATTGATGGAAAAGTAATAAATGCTTGTCCTTTCATTCTTCCTTCTTGCATTACCCTAACATCAAAACCATTTTGTTCTTCTTCTGATAAAGTTTCTATGTACCCTTTATAGATTCTCTTGACATCTTGTTCTGTAACTGTTTTAGCTAAATTCTTAATATATAGTCTCATTGATGGTTGCCCGGGATGATAGTTTTTGTAAATGGGAAGTATTTTCATTTCACAATGAGATATTCTATTTTTTAGCAGTTCTTTTCGCGTCATAGATGGTTGCTCTTCAACTGGAGTTTCTTTGAGCTCTACCAATGGAGTTTCTTCTTTTTGGAACTTTCCAAGTTCACCAATAACTTCTGGCTCTTCTATAGGTCTAGTTAAGATATCATGATTAACTATTAATGATATTTTTTTAGTTTCAGTTACTGGAGTCACTACATCAAATACATCTTCTTGGTTTAATTGGGATTTCTTTACCTTAGGTAGAATAGCAGTAGAAAGAATTGCTGCAGCTCTTTTTCTCATAACAGGGAGAGTATGTTGACGTTTTTTCAGTGATGGTAGGCTTTGTTTAGATTTCTCAGTCTCATCACAAGACTCAATTTCTGATTCTGATTCACTCCGTCTTTCTGATGTGACGATTTTATCTGAAAATAATTCTTGAAAGGTGTCTTTAAAAAATTGTATCGCTTCAGAATTGTCGCTAAAAGGTACTTCAAGACCCATTTTATTCATTAGGTGTAAAAGTTGAATATATAATGGTTTATGTTTAAACATAGAAAATATTAAATTTACAGCTATTTTTGGATCCAATGATGGGTATTTATATTTAATATGCACTGGTGGAGGCTGATAAAAATCTATGGATGGATTCCAAGCATTTAACAATTTCTGAAACTCTTTAATTTTTAATGTACATAAAGACTCTTCAACATTTTTGCTACAATCCTTAATAGGTTCTTTCTCACTGGAAAATTCCACAACCAATCTTCTGTGAGCAATTTCCAGTTGGTGTAATCTTCGTAATACTGATTCAGCAGTTTCTTTATTAAAAAATGATGCAAAGATATAGTTACGTTTCTTTCGACATTCCCACACTTTTTGAGCACCATAGTGTTTCAAAAGCTGTTCTTTATCTTGAAAAGATAAATTAGCTGGAAGATGTCTTATCATGAGGACTGCTGACATATTAAATTACAATACGTTAAGACAGTTTAAAATTACTGTAACTACAATTTAATTGAATTCTACAAGATTTTACGCGCACTCAACACTCTTAAATATAAAAATGTACATATATCGCTTGTACGATTGATATATTTGTTTAGTTTATATTTTCTAGCTGTTTAAAGCGCCTGTTATTAATTCCTTCCTATATGTTATTCTACTATTAATTTATCTAAGTAGTAGTTTAATGCGGTTATATTTTTAATACGAATATTTATATTATGAGCGGTTCGACATTCGAGATTACTCGGATAACTTCAAAGAATTCAAGAAAGACTCATAATAAACAAGTAGAAAAATTAAAAAAAACCACAGACTATAGACTGTTGTTCAACCCAAAGAAACATTAAACGTTGACACTTGTACATTTAGGATTGGTGTTTATATTGTAAGATTCATTAATTAAAGAATAATATAGATATTATTCAGAATTAATGCTCAAATTTGTTGCTTTGAGTACGACAGTTTCTTGGAAAGCCTCGGCCCTGATACGATAGTTATTAGGTGTACATGGCATGAAAACTGAAATTCATAATGCCCGATAAAAGTACCCAAAAAGTTGTGAAAGTTATAGTTTTAGGGGATATAGGAAGAAGTCCTCGTATGCAATATCATAGCTTATCACTTGCTAATGCTGGTTATAAAGTTAATATCATAAGCTATGTGGAAACTAAACCCCTAAACGACATAGAAGAAAATGCAAACATTTCAGTCACTAAATTGCATCCTTTAGAAATTGGAGGTCCCAAACTGTTTCAGTATTTAGTTAAAGTAATATGGCATACGATAAGTTTATTCTTAACATTGTTAGTTACTGGATCATGTGATTTTGTCTTGTGCCAGAATCCACCCGCCATACCTTCTTTACCAATATGTAGATTTTATTGTCTGATTACCAAAACCACGTTTATTATCGATTGGCATAATTATGCATACTCAATAATGGCACTGTCGTTAAAGACTGGCCACCCAGTCTTAAAATTATGTAAACAAATAGAAAAATGGTTCGGCCAAGCTGCTGACTATAATATATGCGTAACATACGCTATGAAGGAGGATCTCTTAGAGAATTGGAATATAAAGTGAGTAAACATATATTAGATATTTGAAATGGTGTAAAGAAACTAATAATTCAACCACATTTGGCAGGGCAACAGTTTTATATGATAGACCTCCGCAAATATTCCATCCAATCACTGTGGAAGAGAGACATAACTGGTTTGTTAAAATTGGAGATAAATACCATGAGTTTAGAGATAAATTTGCTGAGAACCATACACTTAAAACTGCATTTACTGAAGTTATAGGAGACAGCATAACATTCAGAAATGATAGACCTGGTTTGCTATTCAGTAGTACTAGTTGGACGCCTGATGAAGATTTCGGAGTGTTAATTGAAGCTTTACATGGTACACTACTTGAATAATATCTTTCTACACACATCAAATAAGAATATTTCCAAAGTAGCATGATTTTTTTCATTCAGAGTTTGGTCCATATAAGTTAATAAATAACAAATACTTAACTACTATTTATAGTTTACGCGAGTAGTACAAATTTAAATAAAACACTTTAACCGTTTAAAACGCGATATATTTGTTAAACTTATTTGAAAATGACTTTGAACTTCGGCCCGACGTTTCGGATGCTTTGCAGCAGCCGTGGTCATGGGGAGACGTTGGGCCAAAGTAATAAGTAATTTTCAAATAAGTTTAACTATTATATCACGTTTTAAACCGTTAAATTGTTTTATTTAAATAAACACTTATTTTTCAGTTTATGAGTCAACATACAATATAACTAAGAAATTGCCTAAACTAATTTGTGTTATAACCGGAAAAGGTCCTTTAAGAGACTATTACATTGAGCAAATAAATTCTTACAATTGGGAACATATTTGCATTATCACTCCTTGGTTGGAGGCGGCGGATTATCCTACAATGGTAGCAAGTGCGGACTTGGGAGTTTGCCTCCACACCAGCTCATCAGGATTAGATTTGCCAATGAAAGTGGTTGATATGTTTGGTGCCGGTCTACCTGTTTCTGCTTTTGAATTTAAATGGTGAGTTATTTATATTACAATATCATACCACAGTATCATTATATAGTTATCTATGAATTTGTGAATAATGTGACAAGGAGTTCAAACTAAATGTATGTAATAAAATACTATGTTTCTACTCTTAACAGACTGTATAAATACTATAATTTGGGTTTATATTTGCAAAACATATGATAAATCCGATTTATCTGTTTTGAAGTTGTAGTGGGGCTTGCCAAATATAAAATGTGTTTCCTGCGTGATAATTTATCAGTGGACACTCATACAAATGAGTTGTTGTTGATTGTCTTAGTAAATATGTTTTAATAATGCAATTATTTTGTTTTTAGTCTTAATGAACTAGTACAGAACGGGGTAAATGGCTATACTTTCAAAAGTAGTGCTGAATTATCCAGGCAAATTATTGGCTGGTTTAAAAGTTTTCCAAATAATAAGGAGCAGAATAAAATTGCAGAAAGAATGAAAAGTCAATTGACAAAGTTCCAGGAATCTAGATGGGATGAAAACTGGAATCTTCGAGTAAAGAAACTTTTTGAATAAATAAAATAATTCTTTACAAGGCTTTGTTTTAATATCTCATTGAAGATGTTTTAAATAAGTAATTCAAATTTTTCTTGAATATGACGTTATAAATGCACGTAGAATTAACATAGATTTCATATATTTGCTAAGCCTCTTCACTGTTATCTTTTAAGCATCTATTGTATAAAAATATTTGTCAATTTTTCATCTCATGTTTGCAATATTACTTTTATTTTATTAGGTTTCGCACGCAATGCACATCCCCACGATATATTATCTCAATAGCATAAGGCCCCATTACACTCAATAACTAGTATTCTTTCCCTAAGTCCGCTACAAGGTGAGCTTCCGTCCAGCTCCTGCTCACCACATTCGGCGGTCCAAGCCGAGGCCGATGCCCCTTGGCACCCTTGGTCTAGCCGTAAAAACCGGTGAGCGCTATTGCCCAAAACGCCCGGTTATATTCGAGGCCCCCCATTACACACAATACGAACAAGTCAATCCAAAAAAAAAATTCTTTCCCTAAGTTATATTTTCAAGATAACACTTGTACATTCTTACTTTGTGTGTTTTGTAAAAAAGATATAAAAAATAAACAAATTTGAATATGGGAATGATAATAAGTACTAAAACTGTTCTAGTTTTCATAATTTATATATATGTTCTTGCAAGATATTTATTAAGGCTCTGAATATATCTGAAGTCTACTTGGGTTATTGAAAGTAACAGGGTAGACTTATTTTATATAATATATATTTAAGTCATCAAGATATAAATTTAGAACAAAACTATATATATATATATAGTTTACGCGAGTAGTACACATTTAAATAAAACACTTTAACGGTTTAAATATATTAGTTAAACTTATTTCAAAATTATTTTTAACTTCAGCCTGACGTTTCAGATGCTTTGCAGCAGCAGTGGTATCCCCGTGACTAAAATATATCACGTTTTAAACCGTTAAAGTGTTTTATTAAATTAGTCCAGGCTTTAAACAAAAAAAGAGTATATTTTGTAGTTTATCTTTATATTTAACATTATGAAAAATAGTATTTTATACAATTTGTATTGTGGCTTAAACTAAAAGTCTTTCAATTTCTTGCTGAATGCTTTGAATTTGGGGCTTTAACTGTGAACCCTCATTAATGGTAATGGAGCAGGCAATAATAGGCCGAGAAACACCACACGCTCGGCCTAAAGCTTGCTTAGATCGTACAAAAACATATGGCACATTCTTGTCTTCACATAATATAGGAATGTGCAATACAATTTCTAATGGCTCTGCATCCGCTGACATTATAATGAACTCTGAGAGACCTCTGTTGAGGGTCTTAGTAGCTTCATTGGCGCCTTTTCGCAATTGCTTGTAATTAGCAGCCTGTTGCACGAGATTTAGAATCTTTGCAGTAAGAGCTGCATCCGCCAGTGGATACGCTTTTGGGTTGACGTTAGCTTCAGCTTCAGCCTTAAAAAAGATAATTATTGTAGAGTGGTCATTAGAATGCTTTTCGGCAACATAACCTCTCCGTGACATGCGGCAATCCTACCACACGCGTGATAATGAACAACTACTTTATCATAAGGCTTAACATTTCATTTTAAGGGTATATTTCGTTTAAACAAAAATGAAGAAAGTTACATACATACGAAATATATGTTAAATTGTAAGCACTTACCATGTTTATAAAACCGCGTGTAGATTTATGTATTTAAAATATCAGCCTCTCAGCGATTTCTCGCGTCACTGAGGAAACTGATTAAAGTTAAACCGGAATAGCTTAATATCCAAATTTAATAAACTTTTATTTATGGAGTATTAATATAATAATACAACGACAGCCGACACAGTAAGAGCTATACCACGCATAACTGATTTCAAACAACTTTGACTTTAGCTGTGTATGTGACCACAGACAACCGAGAAATATTACAATTGTCACAGATTTTAAATTAGTAATTTCTTTGTTTCTAAAATCTCATTCCTTTGAGAAATAAAAAATGTACAATAACATTTGAAAAATTCACAATATCATTTGATTTATAGTCACAATCATTTAAAATATACAATACATAGTATATTTATATTATACATTATTTTATGTCAAGTATTACAATTTATTCCTATCAAATGTTTTTTTATAAGAGCCCAATAAATGTTTAATTAAAATTTTTGTAATATTGTAAACAAACGTGTTTTTTTAAATACAGTCGTAAGCACTTATATTACCTACGCATATAGGAAAAAAAGCACGAAAATCTCGTTGTTGTTTGGCCTGTCGGTGAAATATCCGCCTTCTATCAGTATTCCTAAATATAAATGTTATATTCAGTATTTGTCGTTTAAGCGGTCACAATTTTTATTCTCTAGGCATGTAGGTGGTAATGAGAACAACACATGTTCTCAATATGGAGAAAAAATAAAAATAAAATTATTGTATTAATTTTTATATATACACTTCATAATTATGTCTCCAAAGTGGTACTATTATTATTTGCTGAATGATAATTGTTTATACAGATAAAATCCTGTTTTGATGCAGATAACAATTAATAAAATAACAAAAAATCTTTTGACTATGATAGCATCTTGAAGTCCTTCAACAGACTTCATAAGCAAATACTAGTTGGGTTTTTTAAATGTGTTATTTTGTCCAGGTTGATTTGAGAGGAATGCCAGGTGACCTTTAGGGCATTTATTGGCATAATGTCCCTTAGTACCACACTTGAAGCAAGTTACTTCCTCCAGGGGTTTATGCATCATTCTCTGCATTCTATGTATATGAGGAGATTGCTGTGAATCATCTTCTCCTACTTGTTTTAAGAATCCTAGAGATCTGTATCGAGCTTCCTCTTGTTTTTGTGCAACTTCCCTTTGCTGAAAAAGTAGATAATAATGACAATATTAAATACAGTCACTCATACATACTAACTAGGCATTACAAAATCTGGATTGTAATGTGTTAACTATACATTGTTTTCTTAAAAAATTAGAACTATGTAAGACAAAAACTAACTTCAAAAGTCTATAATACTCTACTGTCAACAATAATGGAATGCTGATGCCCTAGTATATTTAATACATTGCTTGCAACAGCTTGTCATTGTAATAAATCTAAACTTACATCTGGTGGAATCTTATGACAGGATGATGCTTTATGACCAACTTCTGAACAGTAATGACACACTGGGAGCCGTTTGGCATCTTTAGTTTGTTCAGGTGGTGCAGGCAACTCAAATCGTGGATGCATATACTTGCAGCTTGAACCATCTGGGCAGAAACCAGCCAAATAGTTAGTGCATAGGACTCTCCGAACATGACGATGGCGGCAATGGGGACCATGTCTACAAAAACCTCGGTCATACCTGCAATTTTTCCATTATTTTTTATTTATTCATAATTTAATGTTACCTTAAATCAAATATATATATATATATGAAATATATTTATTGCTTTTGTCTTTGTGGTAGCCTAGAATTTTAGGCTTAAGTTACATCTTATACCATGCAGTTGCAACTGTTCATTTTTAAATTATAAAATAACTAAAGTACTCACCAAGGGCAGTCCTTAATTTTACTTTCAGGGTCTATATGTAAAAAGGGACATTCTTTGTTATGACAAGCATTAAATCTAGCATAAAAATAACATTCAGGCATCTTAGTCATATCATATTCGTGAAGAAATTCACATTGGTCTCCTTTTTTGCATAGACCTCTTAACCAATGCTTGCAGACAACAGTCCGGTCTCCTCTGACATGTCTATAAGGGCACTGGGGACCATTATTACAACCTCCAGGTTGGCCAAAGAATTCACAAACTGCTGCTGTAGACTCTGAAAAGGCAGGCTTTTATTAACCATTGTAATATAAACTCAATTAGACAAAACATGTTTCTTTCCTTTACTTGGTGTAAAATATTGTTTTTTTTACAAATTTGACATGTAATTTGGAAGCTATGTCGGTGATTGATTATAAATAGTGATATGGGAGGGCTAAAACTGCCATAGATTTTGTAAAATGTATAACCATCTAAATACTTACTATCCATTCCTGGGAATGGAAGTGGTAATGATCCATATTGTTGCTCGAGTGCATAATCAATATCAAATTTAATATGATCCACGTTAGCCACGATGACTTCCATGACTTATTTAGAATATTTCCTTAACAATTATATAGCGGTATATGAATTTTCAACACCCTTACACGAACAGCAACAGTATCGTTTTTAGAATAACAAGTCATTTATCATCCTATAGTTGTTTTACATGGTTTTTGTACTACATAATTGATTTGAGATTTGCAATTGTGCACAAATTGGCTTTGAACCTTATTTACGAATAATTTACTATAGCTAATTCAAGGCAGTGCATTTCGACACAAATCCACAGATTATCGGTAACACAGATGTAGTAGCTAGCTCTAAAACTTAAATACAGATGTATCGACTTACTATCCATTGGATCTATGTAATCTATGTGACAGCGGGGCTTAACATTTTGTAAACAATAATAATTAATAATCGAATGAAAAGATTTACAATACATAATATTGCATTCTTTCTAATGCCAATGTACACCTGAAAGCTATTTATTTCAAGGTTCGAACCTTTTTCGAGTTTCGTACCGGTGGCATTACGATTAAGTTGCTTTGTCAACAAAAAACATACCTCACACCTACATAAAGCTAAGATTTACTTAAATATCGACTATAACATGTCTTTATCTGATTTAAAACATTCGCTAAGGAAATATGAATTCCCTGCATGTGCAAAGGAAGCTCTTTATAAAATAGGTTGGTATAGTTTAATTAAATATATTTCTCTCCACTAAGGACCCATTTGGTTACTGGAAAAATCTGTTTACAGAACAACTTTTAATTGGACGATCGGCACCATCTAGTAAACAATTAGATATATCTATGGATATAACTTCTGAGTTCATCTTCTGTGAAACAGACCGACGCGGTAACCGCAGAGGAAGTGGACTAAATCCCTTGCAAGAATTACAACTTATTGATATTATAAGTGAATACCTCTCTGCTTGTAGCAATGAAACTACCAAGAACACAATATTTTTATCTCTCTTTGGTAGTATGGATAGTCAAAGAAAGTTAAAAATCCTTAGTATTTTAGCAAGTATGGCAGTCTCAGCATGTTGTACTCCGGTAAGCATGAAATATTTAAATAAAACAGTGTTTTATTTAAATGTGTACTACTCGCGTAGACTATAGACAGTAAGCATTAAATATCCATTTTCACTAGCATTATTTTGCTCTCATATTAAATTTTGATTATAGGTATTATCCGCTGTTGGAGTTTGGTTACAGCAAATGGGCTGTTCATCTCCTCAATCCTTGCAACTTGTGGAAAGTGTAATCCAGGACCATTTTTACCTCAATACATCTAATCAGAATTCTCTGAAAACATTGGCGACATGTGCACCTGAATTTGTATCAAATTTCATTACTGCAGTAACTGAATTGTATATGCATGACCTACAGGGTGTGAAGAAAATGCCACCAAAAAATTTACTCGAGATTATAACATCCTGGGTAAGTCTTTACAAAGTTTATGTAGTCAGGGTGTTGCTTAGCTAAGGTACTTAAAGCATCAATATGTTAATGATTTATGAGGACTAGTAGATGTTTAAAGTTTCAAATCATATTTTTTTCTTAATATAAATAACGATTATTTGTCTTTTTAATGTTTTAGGTGTATTCAAATCCAACTCTTTGCATGTCAGCTCAGTTAAATCCTGCAGCATTACCTGTTGGAGCTATTCCGATGGCAGTTGTCACACCACTAGCTGGGTTAATACATTGGTGTTCAATTGCTCCCCTACATGTGGAAGAAAGTAATTTTATTTAATTATAATATACTAGCGGCCCTGTCCCGGCTTCGCAGACATAAATAAGTACAGATATTAAAATTATAAGCATGCTAATTAAAACGACCATGAATCACTAAATTAGAAAACAAAATGTATTTCGCGTCCTTAACACGCGCGCGCTGTTAACGACCTTTGTCTATCACGCTGTGTCAGGAGCCACTGCGAGCGTTCAGTGTTAGAGTCCCGTGCACGCGTTCGCGAATTCCTAGCTCTATTTCGTTCAAGTTTGTTCTGCAAAACGAACCTGAACATTCGACGATAGATTCTCTTGCTTGCGATTGGGACGATTACACTATAATACTTTCCCGATGATCATTTTAGGAAGAAGACTCTCCAATACGACAAACTTAGCTAATCTCGTTTGGGAACTATTCTTATATAGTTGCGACCTTCTTCTTCTAGGCATATTGCTATGAAGGATATTTATTTTAAATCAGAGAAATTAAGAATAAACTAATAGGTAATAATACAAAAGAAAATATTCAAGTTCAAAGCGATAATTTTAAAAAGAACTTTGACAAATATTATGCAAAGTGTGATTCCTAATACTAAACTAAGTAGCTTTCAAAAGAACTTTTTAAGTGAAGCATAAAAATGTTAAAAAAAAATCGAAATATTCAATGTCGTTCGCGCCCACTGCGTAAGGAGCCCACTGCCCCTCTATCGTCGAATTAGATACTCAATGCGCGGCGTGGCGGCCATGCATTTTTATTTTAACTTCGTGATATCTTTTGAATGGAATGTCCGAGTCAATATCTATATCAATATCAAGAATCTTGAATATTAAATTATTTATTCGGATATAAATTTATAAATGGTACGGATCTGGACACGGTCTGATTTTGATCGGCATTTCTATCAATTTGTTTAAATGTAAAAAAGTAGTTATAGCGACGTAACTACAATAGTTAGACATATGGTCTCGCGATGTTTTTTGTAGATATTTTTTTTTATTTTCTATCGGGGACACCCTCGGCAGGACGGGTGATCAGTCCACATTGTCCGCTGACCATTTCCCCATTATAGATATTAATATATTCTATAATATTGTCGCACATTTTTTGTCCTATCATTAATACTTTTCGCAGCGTATGCGAAGAAAGACATTTTATGGCTAATTTTTTTACGCATTCCGTTGGTTTTAGTAAGACTTTCTATAGATATTTATAGTAATCGAGTACTTAAATATAGCCTATGTTACTCAGTGATAATGTAGCTTTCTAATGAAAAAAGAATGATTAAAATCGGTCCAGTACTTTCGGTCCGTTACATACAGAAATACAAATCTTTCCTCTTTATAATATTAGTATAGATGTATAATTCACTATGTTTTTTACTCAATAATTTTATTTATCACAGCTATAGATGTGGAGGAACCAGCTCCAAAGAAAATTAAAATCGAAGGAGAAAAACAGACTGTAGTAAAATCCGTGCCACTTTCTAAACCTCTCCCAACATCAGATCTATACACAAAGCTTCATCTAGCGGTTTTGCATAGTTTGCGAGTTGGGCAGCGAACTCATGGGCCTCCAACTGCAGTAAATGCGCAACAATTGGCAGCTTTAATACCATTAGTACAGCTGTATAGCCATCAGTTAATAAAGAGAGGAATAAAACTACAAAATGATATCAAATTACAGGTAAGCAAGTTTAAATAATTCCATTTTGAAAAATATCTGTGCAAAGGTAAAGTTTAAATTCTTACTATGCTTTTACAGGACTGTCTAGACCGCATCGGACAGGCGATTCAAGTAGCTCTAGCAAATGGTTGTGTATATGGTAACATTAGTAATCTCTTGTCAGCCTTAGACACATTACCTGAGAATAGGCTTCTCAAAATGATTATAAAAAAACACCAACAAAGCATATAACATTATTTTAATACAGTTTTGACAGATTGTAGTAATTAAATGCTGATGAAAATATAGTGTAATTTGTTATGAAAGATAAAAAGTATGTTTTATATATTAAAATGGTTTAAATCTTCTACTTTGTTTTAATTGAGCTATTTTCTTTTTGTCTTCCTCAAACTTTTGTCTCAATGAAACAATGTGTTTCATTTTTGATTCTCTTATTTGAAAAGTATAAAAGTTCTTAAGCTCTTTTTTCTTTTTACTCTTCTCCTCTTTGGCCATTATTTTATTTTCAACTTTCTCCGTACGAGGGAAGCTTTGAATATTTCCTCGTTTGGTAACAGTAACCCATCCTTCATCATCTTCCTCTTGCATTTGTTTTTCCTTCTCCATTTCCTGCTTAGTTTTTTTATCATACTCTTCCATAAATCTTTCTATACTGTCTTTTAACTCTGATGGTTTTAAAATAGTACTATTGTATTCATTTATCCATTTCTTGAGTCCCAATGTTAAGTGTGAATCACAGTTTATTGGTTGTAGCTCTGTTAATTTCAATGCATTATCAAGTCCGATGACAGTTTTAAATACTAAATAACATAATTTAAAGTTAGGTGTACATTTTTCTTTTAAAAATATTTCTGAGTTCTGTGAAATGGTTGAATTTGGTTTGATGGAAAATTGAACAGACTGGATGTCACCGGCTTTTCTAAACGCCTTTATCATGCACTGTTCGTCGACGTAAGGTGGAATATTAACGACAAATAAAGTACGACCAGAAGGTTTATCTGCTGTGTGCTCTCTCACTAGATGTTCCTTAAAGTAAATCACATGTGGGTGTGGAGAGTCTTTAATAAAATGAAGTTCTAGAGCTGAAAACAACAATACTTATATGAATTGAATATGTAGGCTAAAATTTCATTTAGAAATGAGCAAACAAATATACCTCTGTACTGGGTCTTGTTATGAGCGGATTTCATTTTTATTTTTGTAATTAAATTTTATTAACACATCACAGTATTAAAATTGTATACTTAAGTTATAACAATTACCAGATTTTAGTCTCAGTTAATTGTTAAGAGCTAGTATCGAAAATACTCAATTCCGAGAGATGTTGTAAAAGTAAACACTTGTCAACTATGCACGTGTTGTGTTTAGAACTTTGGGCAGCAATTATTGTTTGAAGTCTGTGGGTAATACCAAGAGAAGACAGTGCAGCATAGGATAAATATATTGAGTGAAATCTATAAATGAAACCACATATAAGGAGTACTTAATTTTGTTTTTTATTTCAGTCATTTGTGATAAAATCTAACGCAAATAAATGTTTAGAGCCCTATTTTAAACACTTTTACGTATAGTTAAGAAAAGATGTTTCGCGGTTTACTATTAAAAAGTTAAAAACCTATTTCTCATTTTATATCTGTTGACATTAAAAGCATCGTGTAAATGTTTAAAGCAAAGACTTAATAATCTGTATTTTATAGTATACCCTGTGGTTAATTCTATGTTAACTGTCTAGAACAAAGGTGTGCTGTCAAGTTGTGACAAAGTCGAAAACGTTTGTTTCTTTTTATGTACTTCTAAAAGTTTTTACTATAATTTGAATTAAAGTCTACGGCCATGTGTGGTAATATTGTTGAAGTTCCGATAAGTTCTAGTAATGCTATCCACCACTGCAAGTAGTAAATTGAAAACCAATAAAATATCGGAAGATTCCGATGGTCCAGATCGTGAAGAAATTGTACAAGAAAACACATCGGGTGATAAGGTCAGAGGTTATGTTAATCTTTACGATGCATCCTCATCTTTCGGAGGACCCAGAGATGTACGCTTTCGGTCTCGCGGACGTGTATCGGAATTTCGACACTCGCGCGGATATGGACGGAGTGGGACAAGAGGTCGAAGTTTCCCGCCTCGGGGTGATAAAGATGAAAATTCCTTTAAATATAACGAATCGCTAGCGTCTTCGAATAATGAATCATGGTCTCCAAGCAATAGTAACAAATTTTACGAGAGGTCTGATCTGGTGGTTAATTTACCTGAAGATCCACGTATATCGAAGCTATTACGGCGTTTGTGTGCTGAAGTTGATGTGGAAAAGTCACTTGTCATTTGCAGTAAACTACAAGAGGCTGTAATGCTACCAGAAAATGCCAGATATATTCGAAGATCTTATGATATTCTTGTGGAGTCACTTTTGGATGTGTTGTATGATGCTCCTGGTCCTGAAACAAAAGAGGGTGCCGCTACTGTATTGGGCAGGATTGGATATGTAATGGGGCCCGATTTCCGCAAACATTTAGATTGGATTGCTTCCACTTATGCTGCACACAACTCTTCTATCAAACACATGTTAACCCTGTCATTTTTAGAAACTTATCAGTTAGATTTACAGAACCTTAATTTGTCAGAATTCACTGATTTGACTTTAGAGAGACTACGATCCATAATTGAAAGGACTGACTCTTCTGATATATTTGTAGCTGCTATAAATGTAATGGTAATGGTTTCCAGTGCCTATCCAGAAAATTTTGCTAATCACTTTGTGGATACTGTTGATATTGTTGTAGGCTGGCATGTAGATAGCAGTCAACCAAAGAAAATCAGGGAGTTTGCCTTACAAGCCCTGTTTAAAATGAGTCGTCACTGGCAAGCAGATGTTGGATTTTCTATCCATTTGTTGAACCAGTTTATTGAAGATATGGTGGCCTACTCCGGCTTAGATGATAAAAGTGTCAAAGAAGAAGAATCCAGTGTCGAAGACTGCATACAAAACATTGCTTCATTTCTCAATGTGTTTAACACTGTGGTAAAGAGTTTGGGGACACTTTTAAACCCAACATTGAATCAATCTGTATCATGGACCTTCTTATCTGATGCTTTGTCAAAAATCTTACAGGTTTTAACTGAAGTGTTTAGACAAAATGCAGAATTAGATTTGATATTAGCTGGCAATGAGTGTGTAACACTTTTGTTGTCTTCATTACAGTCAAAGTCATATTATTGTGCAACTGCTTTGTTTTCCCTCATAAAAATGGAAGTGGAAAATTACTTGCTAGTAGGTGAAGCAATTTGTATAAGCATTGTAAGTCTTATATCAACAACTATAAAAGAAATATCTTCAAACTTGCCTATAGAATTTATAACTGAAATAATTGGACCAAAATCACAATTAAAGCACTTACGATTCTCGAATAATGTCCATGTTTTGAAAGGTATTGTGATGATATATAGTAATTTTTTAAATTTAAAGAATATACCACTTCTTCAAGAAGCTTACAAGTATGTATTGTCAGACATACAGATTTCTCTTTCTGGCTTGGTAACAAATGTACAGATCATTAATGTGGACTACTCCGAGGATTTGAGCAAAGATGATGCTGAAAGGAATGTTATATTTTATCTTCAATGTTTATCGGATCTAGCAAATGCAAGTAACTCAATAATTGGAATGTGGGCGTTACAACCAAGCATTCTTGAGTTGTTATCTATCAAAATGAGTCCCCATAATGAAATATTAACAAAGGAAAGGCCAGCTTTACAGTATTCTATACTTTACCTTTTGTACTCTCATTGTAAGAAAAATAATCACTTCATTGCATCAAGTGATCTGGTGACAAATGCTCAACAGAGAGCAAGTGATTTGTTCAGCTTATCAAATCTAAGTTTGGGAGATGTTTCTGGGACCAGCCCTACTTGTGGTCATCTAGCAATAATTTTGCAAACGTTGAGTGTCATTTTAGACGAGTGTGTACCTAAAGAGACTTTACTACTTGTTCTAAGTTGGGTATCGGATATTTTTTGTCAATTGGACAATTATCTACCCATTGTCAGTCTGTCTAAGAGCTTCCTTGTACTCATAACAAACATGCTGGATCTTGCTTACAATTTTGATGGGGACATTGTACTGAGAGTCATAACAAATTGTCATTATTTATTGATGAATAAGAGTCTAACTTGGAATGTAATGCTTTTAAAATCTATGGCTGTAATCTCTCTATTACATATCGATAATAAAAATAATGATGTAGCAGGGCTGTGCAAAGATGTACTATTTCAACTGCCTTGGGATATAGTCCAACAAGAGTTAGATAAACAAGTGGTAAAAGTTTTTGCATGTCGGAATATAAGTTTATGCATGTTTAAAGGTGATACAAAATTTAATGCACTGAAAGAATTTTTAATGAAAGGATCTTATGTAACTCTACCTAACCACCACTTTAAATTAATAATTAACTGCCTTATGGAAGTTGTTGAGGATAAATTCTTCTTATTAGAAATCTTTAACTCAGCTTGGCCTTTACAAGGGTCTGATAATGAGGAGAAAAATCTACTGTTTTTTCGCCAAAGTGCCACAAATTTTTGGTCAATATGCATTAGCTGGGCACTTTCAGAAATAGCTCAAACATGTATCTCACTAAAACTTCGGACACCTTTAGGAAAGCCTCAAGAAACATTTACCAGAATTGAAGGTGCTTTAAAAGGCATAGCGAGAGAAATATCTGCACAGGACACAAAATATATTGCAGTACAAAACAAACCTTTACTTGCTGTAGTGGTTGCAGAACAAACCAGGGCAAGATGGTTTATAGAGTTCATGATGTTTTTAGAAAAGTATACATACAATGCTGCTGAAGGTACTGCTTCAGCATTACCAGCAGTTTCAAAGCCTGTGAAAACATTTTTTCATACAAATTGGCCAACATGCAGAGAATGGCAAACTAGAGTGCGACCAGCTGCTTTAGCAGTAAGTTTGTATTCAGGTCACTACGGTGCCACTATATATCATGCCTCCTTAATACTACAAAGTGCTGCCAAATCTAAAAGTAATATTGATATTGAAGCTATTGTTACAAGTTTAGCAAAAGCTCTAATTAGAGTACAAGAACCGGAGGTGTTACTTGGATTATATGTGTGGGTAAAAAAAACATTTGACCTCAAATTGTTGTGGCTAAAAGCAGCAGCTGATCAAGCGAATTCTAGATATGAAATTGCAATAGAATGTTACAAGAAGTTACAGGACACGAAGAAAAATGAAGAAGATGCTCCTGCTTTAAATCCAAACGATGTTAGACTTACTAAATTCATTAGTGAAAATATTACAGAAAGTTACAAAAGTCTGCAAAGCTGGGAGGAAATGATCGACTGGCTGGAAAGTGAAACTAAGAATAATGATAAAGAGTTGGAAAAATATAATTCCTTACGATTGTTTGAAGATAACATAGAAGTAAATCTTTGCGAATGGGGTGCTCTCGATTTAAAAGCCACAGAATTACCTAAACATTCATGTTCATATCAAGGTCTCATAAATCAAATTGATTCAACATTAACAGCAACAGCTCTTAATATTTATCATAACGATTACGAAGAAAAATATGATCTAGTAATTAAGGAATGTAAAAATATCCTTAACTGCACATCAGAAGAATTTGCTAGGAACAATTCAATTAATTTGCTTAAAGAAATAGCAGTTGTACAGTTAGCAAGTCATGGTTTACAGAGTTTGAAGAATGGAAAATCTGTGTCCAATCCATTTAAACCATCAGTCATTAAGGAATATAAATATGGGACTGATATCAACAATCTAAATAAAATTCTATGGTGGAATCAATATTTTTTGAAGCTGAATATGAGTGAAGAAAATACATTCTATAATGAGTGTCTAAGACTGGATGTGATTAAAAGTGCAAGGAAGAATGTTAATTTACAAATGGCAAAGAGAGAGTTACTTAAACACTTTAAAAATAACACTTCTTTTCAAGTGAACTTAAATATCAACAATTTAGAAGATTTGTCTGAAATTCTTATTATGTCGCCAAACATTTATGAACTCGATATTTGGACTATTAATAATGCGAGTGCTTTAACGGAATTGTGTAAAGTGACGTATGCTACGGACGAATCTAAGATACTAGCGATCAACTTATGTGCCAGTATTTCTTTAAGTTTTTCACAAAGATTAGCCATAGGCGATCACAACTACGAACTTCGAGAGAAGGGCACGAGAATGTTGTTGACATTATCCAAATGGGTTCAAAATGAAAGCGACGATGTTTTAGAAAGTGACTCACCCTTGACAAAATTAGTGTCAGCCCTTCCAGAGATTGGATTAGTTGACAACAATATATCTGAAAATGTTATACCTATATCAGATTCTGCTGTTGGAAAGCTCCTGCAGTTTGGTGTAAATCAATGTCCTGGGTTAGCTAAAGCTTGGGCTAGTTTTGCTGCATGGTGCTTCAGGTGGGGGAGAAAAATGGTTGAATTTAGCTCCAAAACTGGTGAACAATTAACAGATAATGATAAATTGCAAATAGAAAGCGTTATGATTGGGTGTTCTGCTCAAGATTTTGAAGCAGTCTGTGAAATATTATCTAAAACAAAGGCCACATGCGATGAAGATGATATCGATTGGAATGAAATCAACACATCAGAAATGATTGAAAATCAGTTACGAACTGTACCCTCATTAAATAATGCATTCCCAGAACATTTAGCGCTGCTAGTAGACATTTGGCGTCAAGCACAAAAAAGAGTTTTTTCATATTTTGAATTGTCCGCGGATGCCTACTTTAAGTTTTTACAATTAATCTGTGCATCAGATTACATAAACCATAGTGGAGAAAATGCGGTTGTAAATGCCACTCTTCGGCTGTTACGACTCATAGTAAAACACGCTATGGAGTTACAGACTGTACTAGAATCTGGTCTAGCAAATACGCCTACACAGCCTTGGAAAGTAATAATTCCTCAATTATTTTCTAGACTAAATCACCCTGAAACTTACGTAAGGAAATGTGTATCCGATCTGCTTTGCCGTCTAGCTGAAGATACACCACACCTTATCACATTTCCTGCTGTTGTTGGAGCTGTTGAGAATGAGCAAAATAGTATAACAGAATTGCACGTACCCAGATCATATCTGTCGAATGACGATGTTGATAGCGATGATGATAATCTTGATATAGAAGACAATGTCAGTGATAAAATTAGTAATAATGAGTTAAACTCTTGTTTCTTGGATATGGTACAAACTCTGGCTAAACAGGCGCCTACAACTATACTACAGGTAAAATTATTGGTTAAGGAGTTACAGAGAATCAATTTACTTTGGGACGAATTATGCTTAGGGACACTAGTACAACATCATTCTGAATTTAATAAACGCCTTTCCCAATTAGAAAACGAAATCACCAAAGTAAAAAATAATCCTAACTTAGCAGCGGAAGAAAAGGAAAAGCTAATCAAAGAAAAACATCGCATTATATTTGAGCCAATTGTTTTTGTTCTCGAACAGTTGCAACAAATAACGTCGGTTAAACCAGAAACTCCTCATGAAACTATGTTTCAAACAAAATTCCAACCGAGCATTTTGGAAGTCATTGATAAATTAAAAAACCCTGCGAATCCTGATAAGCCCCAAGAGTCTTGGGCACCTTTAAAACAGTTCCAAATAAAGTTACAACAAAAAGTAAATAAGCGTACATCTTACATTTTAAAGATGTCCGATATCAGTCCGGTGCTTGCAGAATTAAAAAACACTGTCATTACTATGCCTGGCTTGCATACGAACCAAAGAACGGTCAGAATAACAATAAAATCGATTGAAAATAATGTCGCTATATTGCCAACGAAAACGCGACCAAAGAAACTAATTTTTTATGGTTCAGATGGCAAAGCATACACATACCTTTTTAAGGGATTAGAAGACTTGCACTTGGATGAAAGAATAATGCAATTATTGTCCATAACAAATACGATGCTGGCCCGAGATTGTGAGAATAATGATAACCAGACATATAGAGCGCGTCACTACTCGGTCATACCTTTGGGACCACGTTCGGGCTTAATTAGCTGGGTAGATAATGTCACTCCGTTATTCGCTTTATATAAACGTTGGCAAAACAGGGAAGCTGCTGTTCTAACAGCAAAAACAAATAAGACAGTAAACGTACTAAGACCGTCGGAGCTTTTTTATAAAAAATTGAATCCGCTTTTAAAAGATGCAGGAATATCAACGGAAAATAGAAAAGAGTGGCCTGTTACCATATTGAAACAAGTGTTGGAGGCTCTATCCGCTGAAACGCCGCGCGACTTATTATGGAGGGAACTTTGGTGTAGTAGTGTGACTCCAGAGCAGTGGTGGCAGATGACTCGCCGTTACAGCTACTCCGTGGCGGTGATGAGCACCATTGGTTATATAATCGGTTTGGGTGATAGACATTTAGATAACGTGCTTGTAGACTTAACAACGGGTGAAGTAGTGCATATAGACTACAACGTGTGCTTTGAAAAAGGGAAAACGCTTCGTGTTCCGGAGAAAGTGCCTTTTAGGATGACACCGAACCTACTGACCGCGCTTGGCGTTACTGGTGTTGAGGTGAGTCATTTATATATCTTTTCTTACACTATTTTGATGTCCTGTAATGAATATACGCGTTATCTCTTTACTTGTGTATTAGATTTAGCTGATATAAGCGCCACCTACTTTTTAGAAAGAGTACTGTACGGGAACTTTCATATCTCGTACTATAAAAGTACTTCTAGGACTCCTTTATGTTTATACAGAGGGCGGTTATAAGCCAGCTCTTATTAATTCTTAATAACGTGTAAATTATATATATTTAACTTATACGTTGTTCCGTCATCGTTAAGCCAAACGCGACTGAAATAAATATTTTTTTAGACGACAAAATAAAATTACTTATCCGAAAGCATTTGTTTATAAAGAAATAAATAAGTTAGGCAATTAATTAGACCCAGTACCCAGATTAGTTTATGTAATTTTTTCATATATTAAAATACTAGCTTACTTGGCAAATGTTCTTTTATCACGTAAAGTACCTATTTCCGACGAAATTTTATTACTATAGTAACGGTTGTGAGTTAAATGTCTTTAAAGATATAATGTCGGGGATTTTTTTAACATTTTTTAAAGAAGTATAATATTCACATGAAGCAATTCTTCTATACTATTTTTCGGTATCTGAAGGCTTTTGCAACGCGTGCAACGGAAACCTTAAAAGATAAATCATTTTACACGTCTTTTCCACATTTCCCTCTGTTTCTCCTATTGGCCCGATGTTTTATAGCCTAAAGCCTTCCTTGATAAATGCTCCAACCAACACAAAAATAATCTTTCCATTCGAACGAGGAGGTCCTGTGACTAACGTGTTTAAACAAACTCTTTAGCTTTATTATGTTAGTATAGATTTACATATAAATGTTGTTTTAAAATTAAACAATATTTAAGATCAACGAACGAGATTTATATTCTAATGTTATATTTACCTGAGAAGGGGGAAATATAAGCCATAGAATAACTCAATTTTCACATCGAATTTATTTATCTTACAAGTAACCGCTTACGGTGTAACAGAGTTCGAATCACAACAGCAGGAAACTTATGACACTTTTAATAAATCAACAAAGCCTTAGAAACGTAAGCTTAGATCGAATATGACGGTACCTAAAGTGATGGGTACCTAAAGCTATAATTTTAAAATCTAGAAGCGTTTCAAATTTCCCACAAAAAGTCTGTTGCTTACTCTTGTTTCTTATAATAACACTACACTACATCTGGGGTTCGGGTGGGCCGGTGTATAGGGGTAGGTCCATCTGGCGCATAGGACGGGTTTGTGTCCCCTTGCTCGCCATCTATGTATCCTACATTTTCAATGATCCTGCATCGAGAGGTGTCAGGTTCGTGTTGTACGTAAACGAGTCTCGTTGGTCTCCCTCCAAAGTTTGACAAACTCGCCGGTGGAGTGGACCTGTTGATGGAACCTTCTCGTAGAGCTACAGATCCTCGTTTTCTTTCTGGAGCCGGTGAACCTCTGTATTCCGAGGTGTCCGGTCGTTTGCATCTCAGTAGTTTGGCAAATGCCGCTCGGAAGCCAGCGTTCTTCCACGCATAAATGAGTGGGTTGATGCCCGAATTCGACATTGCCAATGAAGATGTCAATCTGTATGCAATCGGGTTTTGGAGTCGACCGATTGGTAGTGTCTGTGCGCATGCTACTACCACGAACGGCATCCAGCATATGGAGAAGGATCCCAAAACTAAGAGCACCACCTGAAATGTTAAAAGTAGCATTAATATCTTGTTTCTTAATTAATGATGTAGTCACAAGGTTTTAATTCATAAAGATGTTTTATTGAAACAAGTTTAAATAATTCTTTGCATAGTGAAGTAGAGGCAAGCCAATTGCTCATTTCATTAAAAACGTCAAACAAAATCAACTTTAAATTAAGAGTGAATCAGCTGGTTCTTCTTTCAGAAGCCTAAGCTTCAGTGGACATCTACCTGTATGCTCTTCCAGTCGTTAGCTCCGCTAGGGCAACATGTATTAGCTCGCATACGACGTGCGTGGCAAGTGGCTTCGCGCCAAATTCGCCAGTACAGCACAAACATCGCTATCCATATCAGGGAAAACATTGGTGTCAAAATGCTTGTCGTGTATGTTTTCGGCACAACCTGCAACAAACAGCGCTTATCTCATACAGTATCTATTTTGAATGATATGTTTTGATGTAGGGTTTCAATAATCCCATGATAAACGATATAGTATGGATTGTACTGGATCGTTCATTCATTATATGATTAACCTACTACTGTATATTTGACGGTATCTTCAACCTCGTACGTCATATCTATCTATCCCAGTTTTAATATTTTTCACGTGTATCGTTGCAACGTATTATCAAACAAAACTAACAGGTTTAACCTTAATATAATGTTCCCACAAAAGAGATACATGTAGAATTACAAATTAAGGTAAAGACTAATAATACTGTGCATACCTCATTCATCTCGCAGGAGACACCATCCTTCCAGTCGTTCCAGAATATCGGTATGCAGCTGATACACAGCGCTATCGACCAGGTCGCGCTCATTAGTAGTCTGGTCACTAGTTTTGTCATGTACCGACTGTAGTGCAGGGGGTGCACTATCGCTATGTACCTTGAAGATAAAGCAAATTATTGTTCAACAATCGTCGGTACTAGTCTTAAGACTACTAACGTAAAGTTGAAGGTGGAGTTAATATTTCTTACTGTTCATCTAGTTTGCATGTAGGTGTCGCTACGATTTTGAATTAGAAAGTCACAGTCAATATTTTGCTCGTATTATTTCAATATTAGCATATACAACTCATGGTTTAATCAAGTAAAAAAAACAAATTCTAAAATCATCCCTAATGTCAAAGATAGTTTAAAAGGGGTTACCTGTCCACTGCGATAGCTATGATATTGTATATGGAAGCTAGACATGCGAGTATTATCAAAATAAATCGCATTAAGCAGGACCACTTGATCTTTCCAAAGTCATTGGAGAGGTAGAAGACGAGATGGTATGGCAGCGTCAGCCCGACCATCAAGTCGGAGATGGCTAGATTCAGCACGAACTGGTTGGAGACGAGGGAAGAAAGTCGTCTGCTCATGGTCACGGCGAGTATAGTGAGCGTGTTTCCACTGATGATAAGCACCATGAGGGCGCCGTCGATGATACTCCAAGCCCAGTAATTATACAGGCTGGGAGTGGCCTCCTCTGTATCATTCCACCCCCCCTGGCTCTCATTGCCCACTTCTAAGTCCATACCATCGCTGGTCGCGTCAGCCAGCGATGGCAACGAATAATTCAACGTGGTGTTGAATTTTCACGCACACTTCAACGTCACACACATTGTTTATTTTAGCACAATTCACTGGTTCCTTTATTTCAAGCAGCGCCGATATCTGTAACAATAAGTTTATTTTGTAAATATTTGAAGGGTAGTTCAATCAAAAATTTGCCAGGTGCCTGTAAGAATTGTGGTGTGGTGGATGTGTGAAACAAAATCTGTGTCTACCGAATCATAGGTCCCATGGGGAAAACGGAACACACTTCGCTTAAAAGTCCGGAACCACGAAACATTAATATCTTAATTCATATGGACGTAAAACTTAAATGGTTTTCCCATTTGAGTTACACAACTTTCTCAGCCTTGATGTGAGTAACTATCGATCGTTCGGCATACAGGAGAAACTTTCATTGAATGGTACATTTTTAAACGCGAAATGACTGTTTACATTCGTTCCTGTATTGAAGCGGGTACTTCATATACTTTGTACATGATACTCACGTAATGTAACATTCTGTCTACCGCTGTTTCGTTTTATAAGTCGTACGATACTTTAGTATTGTCAAAACTTCCTAAATAGTACCGGGTTAGTTGACCTAATCCAATTTTTGTGTTTTGTTCGCCCTTTTTTTTTTTTAAACCCCCGGTTTCCCGTTTTTTTTTTTTTTTTGGGGGGGGGGGGGGAGAATTTTTTTTTTTTTTTTTTTTTTAAAAAACGCAGTAGTTCATGTTTTGTCTACTTAAAGTAATTTTGTACTATAATAATGAACTGAAAGGACTGTTTATAAGCTTTTGAACCGTTTAATTAATGCATACAAACGAATTTCGCTGAATGGAGTCAGCAGTTGCCGCTGAACTGAGGTTTATTTGAATTTTAATGAATTAACTCAATAACTTAAGCCAATATTATTATGCGGGGATATACCCCTGTTAAACCGGCATTTAACTAAAAAGTAAATAAATGCTTACAATTAGTACACATTTAAGTAAAACACTAAACTTTTACTAGCTATCTTAGTTCATAAGCTTATCAATTCTGTAGAGTTGAAAACGCCGCGTAATACTTGTTAGTTAATAAGTATTCCCTTTTTAAACCGCTGAAAATGTTTTCTTTAAAAGCAATACCGAACTGATCAAACTACAGCACACGCAAAACCAATCAAGATCCAATATTCAACTCACAATGTCGAATGCTCAAGCGGGCTTATGCTAATGTTCTTTGTCCGACTCGACTAAGGCCGGGATCCACCGAAGTGGAGACGAGACGAGCAGAGAAGAGATATTTTTAAACAACACAATAGTTTTGGTTTATTGACACATCTGTCTACCCAGGTTTAGTGGAGGCCGCTATGCGAAGCTGTGTAATACTTGATCTGATCTGTGCGCTGACGATTCTGCTTCTAAATAAAACACTTTAACGGTTTAAAACGCGATATATTAGTTAAACTTATTTGAAAATGATTTTTAACTTCGGCCCGACGTTTCGGATGCTTTGCAGCAGCCGTGGTCACGGGGAGACGGTGGTTAAAGTGTTTTATTTAAATGTGTACTACTCGCGTAAACTATAGACAGTATTTGATTCTGCTTCTTCCTACTGTAGTACTTCTTCAATTAAAAGTTGATACTTTTTTAAATAGTAGCGACATCGTCTACCTTGCGTGGCAGAATGCGTAATGTGCACTCAACGCCTTGCAAAGAACAACACATCACACAACACCTCTTTGGAAGAGTCCTTGGACCTGAAAAAAATCTCTTCTACTTTGGTGGAGCCCCGGCCTAAACGTGGGATTAGATGAGTTATCCTATTTTTTTTAACTCAACCATTTCGTAATTAGGGCACCTAGCTTAGCACCTAGTTTCTCACGGAAGCGAACCCTGGAAATAAAATATTAAACAGCTAGACTAAATATAAAATAATTAACAAAAGATCAGGTTTTTAAACGGTAATCGTTTTTTAAATGCATAAGATCATTATGCATTCTTCGAATACGCCATTTGTTCTTTTTTATCCTCATACAAAGGTATAACTTCAACTGAGTTTTATCATTTCTTCTCTAATTGGCTGCTCTAATGCAAGGGACTTGTAACTAAATCCAATGTATCTTATGTTTCGGTCACAAGATGTCGTAAAGAATTCCATTAGACTTACTAAAAGAAAACATTTTATGAAGCACGTATGCGTCCTCTGTACTAAACATTTTGGGGTCAAGTTTCTCCAAATTAAGAGCTAGTTTATGAATTACATATATTGATAATTTAAATAAAACCACAAATTATGAGTGGGCCCCGAAGCAGACGATATCGTTCCCGGTTTAAAGTCATCCTAATGAAACAATACGAGTTAAGGCTAGACAGAGTAACGCGTTACGTAACGACGCTGTTTCCTATAAGAAGCCCTACCATAAAAGGTTATCACTTTAATAATACTTTTTACATTATAACGACCTTTGGAAGTATGAAAATCTAAAACCTCTATATTTTATTTTCGGTCGTTATTGTTACACAGCTTATAACAATGGATGAATGAGATATTTTGAAATGACAAAGGCCATTTATATCGTCTGTAACAGTAACGAGGTCTGTAGTCTTTCGAGGACGCCATTATGGATTCATACATTGACTGGGAAGGTTTCTAGGGCTATTCAATTATTTAAACAGTTTTGGAAATTCATTGCTTTATATCGCCTAGGCGCTATGTTAAGCTTTATTTCGGTTATTAATAACATGTCACTAAATATATTTATTAAATCACGTCGGGCAGTAATTATATGTAAATAAAAAACCGCGTTTTAAACCGTTAAAAGTTTTCCAATGTAATGTGTACTACTCGCGTGAAGTACAAACTCTGACCATGGTTCTTATAAATCAATCGAATAACTATATATATCGCGTTTTAAACCGTTAAAAGGTACTTAAAGAAACATCCGTCTCCAAATTTCTTTTTTTACTGACATAAGCGTCTGAATTTAATTTGTATTCTTTTCTATATCACTGAACGTCGAATGACAGTCTCGACGTTATTGCGAATTGCTTTTTATGTTTTCAATTTTCTGACGCATGCCTCATTTGAGGGCGCTGTTACTTTTTGTCAAAAAACATCGACGCTAGTCCTAGATACGCGGAACGATATATGGTGGCTTAAAAGACTTTCTTTAAAGTTACGAATCTATTTTTTTTACAGTAGCTCTTAATTTAAGTATTAGTTGCTTTAAGATTTTCAGGTCAAAAGACAAAGTTTAGAAAGAGAAAAAATGTTTTAGGTCACATATGACCTTCCAATGTGCACATTTAATAGTAATCATTCGAAAGTTATATCGATTCGTAAATTATATCTCTAAAGGTACTATGTCCCTCGTTCGCCCGCCCCGCTTTTATGAAGTTCGTTAAATTTAAGTGTAGAGTTAAGGTTTAATAAGAACCATTCCGTGTAATGAGATATGATATTGCGCGTTTTGTTCTCTCTATATTTCGGCCTGTATGTGCGTGGAGTATAGGGCGAACACATATTTGTGACAAGCATCAAGACTAAAGATTCTTAAATCCGTCAAGTAATTTCCCACTTTTAATTTTTGTTGTAATACACAAAAATGACACTCATAAAGCCCAATATCGCGAAATTTTACAGGCTCAATAAAACACTTAATAGTTTAAAATGGGAACTCTGTTAGTTAACTATGCGGATTTCCGTGACCACGGCTGCTGCAAAGCGCCTGAAACGTCGCGACGTAGTTAAATTAATTTAAAAATAAGTTACCGAATATATTTCGTGTCTTAAACCGGTAAAAATGGTTTATTTTAAATGTGTACTACTCGCGTAAACTACAGATACTATCATACTTAATTTTAACGTTTTTTAAAAAAACGTTTTCTCAGCTCATATTAGATTAAATATATTATGAAAATTATGTTTTAGTGTGAATTATTATTTGATACTGTATGTGAAGTGCATTTCACTCACGAAGTCTTTCGCCTTCAGTGTATTTATAACAGACACATTTGCATGCACAACAAAGTAACAGGATTAAAGCATACATATCGTCGACTAGCTGTGCCAGCGACTTCGTCCGCGAAGAATAGTTCTTTTGGGCGTCAAAATTTGCCATAGCAAACCCCATCCTCATCTTTGTAAATTATAGCTTTTACCAACAATGTTCTTTGCGCCCCGTCGCTCTTACAAGTTAATTTTAAAAGATATTGGTAGCAGTAACCTTTTTTATAAAGTCTTCAACCAACACAAAAATAATCTTTCAATTCGAATTACTAGTTCCTGAGATTAGCGCATTCAAACAAACAAACTCTTTAGCATTATAATATTAGTATAGATGCTAACGATTCATATTCGTAGGATATTTGAGGTGGTCTCGCCGCCATTCGTATCAGATACATATAAGTTCATCGCATCCAATTTCTCTGACGATGACCGGCGTTGATGGCTTTTCAAGCTCTATTGCTTTCAGATATTGCCTATTTCCCTTCGCTATATCGCTCCGTTACAATTGGAGTTATTTAAAGACTGTATAAATTGGTCGTAATGGAGTTTATAGCTTGTAAATGCTTTCGGGTTGTCCTTCAGCGTTTTGACCCTACGACCCGCTCAATAGGAAAGGCACGGTTTATTGGAAGTTTAAGACTAACGTTTTAGGCTAGTTGGTCCAATGTTTGGAATGTTTGGAAAATTGGACATTAATGAGTCAATCCACGTTTCGGTTTCTACATGAGCAAAATTGGTTGATAGAGCTTCTTATATACTGTATATTTCAATAAGACACTTTTAACGTTTTATAACGCGAAATGTATTAGTTTAACTTATTTACAATTTATATTAGCGTCTGTGGTAGTAAACTTAAATCTAACATTTCGCATTTTAAACCGTGAAATGTGTTTCTATTATAAAAAAAAACTAATCTAATTGTTATAGCTTGCGAGTAAACCATACGCTTCTCTGTTCCCTATCATAAAAAAAGTTTACGCAAGTA